CCCGGCGGGGCGCTGTAGTGGCGCGGACAACGAAGACGTGGTGCGGGAGAGGGCCGGCACCGGCGGAGTCGGTGGTGACACGGCGAGGAGGCAGAGCTGCGGCACCAGGATGGCGTGCGCCGGTGCAGCAGAGGGAAGCAGAGTGAGGGAGTCGCTGCGGGCTCGGTAATGCCGCCGCCATGGTAAGGGTGTTGTAGTGCTTCAGCGTGCGGTCATCATTGGTCGAGGCGGCGCGACCCAGCAGACGGACGGCGGCGGCCTTCATGGCGGTGGTGGTCGGCGCAGCATGGTGGCGGCGAACGGAAGGCGCGGCGCAATGGCGCGGCCAACGGCTGGCGAGGCGCGGCTATGGTGGGCGGTGCTTGCTCGACTATGGCTGCGGGGAAAACGCTCGGAATGACGGTGCAGCGGGGCTCGGGCGCTCGGAAGTGGCAATGTCCAGAGCGAGCCGTGGGGCTCGCGTGAGCTGGCGCTAGGGAGAGCCGGCACCGGTGGGAGTGAGGCGTGCGCGGCGGCGGGGACCGAGGAGGAGCGAGCGAGAGCTGGGACAGCGACTCCAACGCTTGGAAGAGGGATGGCTGCGGGTGCGGCCATGGCATGTTGCGGCAGCGGACGAGTCACGTCCGGCCGGGCGCTCAGCGCTGGCGAGGAGAGCGAGCAGGGTGAGGGTCGCGCTCGAGACGCTGCGAGGAAGGCGAAGCTGGGGGATGGAGGCAGTGCCGGGTAACGGGCAGGAAACGAGGAGGGGGGGCAGCGACTGCGGCCTTGGTTCGGCGGGGTAAGCGGCATGGCCAGCAGCGAACCGCAGGGCACGCACACAGAAGAGATAACGGGGAGGAAAAGGAGGGCGCGGGGAGTTGGCCAGCCGACACGGGCGCTGCCACAACGGTACATGGTTCGGCAGAGGTAGGCAAGGAAAAGACCGTGGCAGCAGAGACAACAAGGCAGGCAAGGCAAGCAAAGGTGAACAGAGGACTTGATGGTGTCGTAGAGTGAAGCGATGGAACCGACATTGAGAGAGGAAAAACAAGCAGAGCAGTACACGGCAGCAGCAGCCCGGCCAACTCATCCACTAACGTGCGCATCACACCGGTGAAGTAGGTGAGGCGAGTGATCAGCGGTACTCTCGTTGCTATTTCAACTCTCGAATATTCATTTACCAAGCCGACTATTGATATTTTCAAACACGGCTAAAGCACTAAACTTTGTTATTCGATATTTTAACTGCCACAAAAATCATGCTCTGAATTTTACTTAAGTAATATATACCATTCATATCGTATTTTTGGTTATAAAAATTGTTTTTATTTTCGATGCAACATAACAAACCATTTGTCATTTATTTGCTAAAATCGTTACCGGACATTCCTAAATATTTCTTAGTACTGCGTAATTTAACTTGAGCATTTACTTGAGTCCACGAAACTAAGTCACCCAGGATTCGTTTATCGCCTTAAATATGTTTTATATTAAAAACCCGAGAAACTCGATTCGGAAATTTTTCTTAGGCATAAATCGCGGTGCTAAACAAGCTCGTAACACCAGGGGTGTTACAGCGGCTTCCAATTCGCCGGCGAGCTGCTCCCGTAGCTGTTCCTCATGTGCTACGGTGCGACGCTCAGCTACCCACTGCTAGAGGGGATGTTCCTCCGGTGGGATGCTGCCAGGGTTCCGCCATGCATCACTGCAGGGACAGGGGCCGCAGGCCGCGGGCGCCTCCGCCGGGGGCAGCCAGTGGAGGTAGCAGCACGGCATCCCGCTCGTCGGCCTTGGCGCGGCCGCCTGCTTGTCCGGCGGCCATCATGCTGCTAGAGCTGGAGGAAGGAGGGAATGAGTAGGTGACGCGCGGGCCCCACATGTCAATGAGATGCAGGCCAGCGTCCTACGTGACGGTCATTGCCAGCGTGGCATGGTCAAACCCGTTCCAAGCCGGACAAAACCGCCTTTTCCGCGCGCAGTGCTAAAAGTAAACCGTTTTGATAGTTATGATACTAACACTAGACGGACAGTAGTTGAGAGTCAAAAGTGACTTAATCCTGTATATAAACAAAGAAGACTTTTCGTGACTGCTACTCAACCACTAAGATTCACGTGGGGGATTTGCCATTGCAGTGGCGGGTGACGGAGTAGAAGGCGCGGGGAAAGTCATGTCAAATTGGAGGGATTGCAGTGTAGGTGTATCCGAACCTTTCCTTCCTCAGCTCTTCAATGCCGTTTGATGAGTAAACTCCTAGACTCGTAGTCCGGGTACACAAGTAGTAGCCGGAGCGCCCCGAGATCGCCGGTGGGATCCGAATCCATCGCACGGCCACGAGACACCGCGACGCGGGCGCCGAGGTATCCAGCAGTGTATCCCTTCCGGACTCCGGAGGAGCGGCGAAGCGGCCGGCGAGGTCGGAGAAAACCTTCGCCCTGCCGCCTCGGCCTCGGTCGGCTCGGGGCCATCGTTGACTCGAATTGGTGTGGTGTGGGCTGTTCCCGTGGCCTAGCCAGAAACCGGATTGTATTGTGCTTCTGAGCCGGGCTGAACGAGGCGTCGTCACTCCTCAGGCCCAGACACATACATATCGCCATATCGGAGGAAATGGCAGGTCTGGGCGGCGAGTTAGGACATTATATGGGCTTGTTCGTTTGATTTTAGAACCTCATCATGATGTAAAAGGCCAACTTGGTCTAAACTCTCATGGTGCGTCTTACATCCGACACGTCGGACACTCCCGCACACCCACCACTTCGTTGGTTGCGCTTTTAGCCACTGCTCGCTCTGGCCGTGAGTTTATATATTAAAAAAATCATCCATCTTTATCCCTTCCGCTTCCTCCTCCCCTGTCGCAACGCGTCTTGCGCTTGCCCCGTCCTGATGCGGACACACACTCCCCTCGCTGCTGCCGTGCGTCCCATCTGCCGCCGCTCGCTCGCGTCCCGTCGTGCGCGCCTCTCGCCCCTCCCGTCGCACGCGCCGCCGCTCCCTCCAGTCGTGCGCGCTAGTGCTAGTGGTGCTCGCTCCGCCCGTCGCGCGCGCCGCCCGCCCGGCCGACCCAAGCCCGGTGCTGGCGACGCTGGTAGCGGTGATGCTCGCGTGTGGCGCTGGTGCTGGATGTTAGTGGTGCTCGCGTGGCCGCCACTGGCTGTCAGCTCCCACCTCGACGACCGGAATTGACCGGCACAGGCGCTCACCCTCCCTTATGTTTCAAATATTTCAGATGTTTTAAAGCTTTGTTGCAGTTATTTCATATGGATGTTGCAAAAATAAATCGGAGATGTTGCACATGTTGCATATGTTGTAAGTGTTTCAGAGACATGTTGCAAGAGTTTGTTCAAAATATTTCATTTGTTCTAGACGTATGTTGCAAGCGTTTTGATCTGGATGTTGCATATGTTTCACACATATGTTGCAACTGTATGTTCCAAATATTTTATCTGTTCCAGTCTTCCGTTGCAGCAAGTGTTTCCATGTTGCAAAATGCAAGTGTTCTATCTGGATGTTGCATATGTTTTCATACATATGTTGCAAGTGTACATTCCAGATGTTTCATCTGTTTCAGACGTATGTTGCATTCAAGTGTTTCATGTTACACGTGTTTCATGTTGTTCCGAGAGTTAGGGGCGCGGGGGAGTGATGGTGGCACGACACAAGCGCCGGGGAATGGAGCGCGGCGAGCCGATGGTCGGCGGATGTGGTGCGCGGCGCGCTGGGGCGGTGGTCAGGGGCACGACAGGGCAAGGTGAACGGATGGGGTGGGTCGAATCGAGGCGGACAAGGCGGATTGCGAGCGATTCGTACGGACGCGACGACGGCACGATGCGCATAGAGGCTTGGCAAATTAGCGGATGAAGGGGTAGGCTATGCAGGCGCTCGCGGAAAACGGCCGTCGGACGTCCGGGAGCTAGCACGTCTCCACTGGTAATCAAATCTTATTTTTCCCCCAATTGGAATCAGTGTAGTAGTCGTTTATAGTGTTCCAACGATGATTAGTCAGCTAGCTTCATCTTGAACATACATGCATGTCAACCGCGCCAAGTGTTAACGTGAACAAGAATGCTCTCCCTAATCGTTCGCGCAAGTATCATCGTTGCTTAACAGAGATGGGCAGTGACTAGAGATTCAGATTGTATTGAACTCCGGCGGTCAAATTCTGTTATTTCTATCGTTCATTCACGATCAAGTAAAATGCATACATGGATTGTATTAAGAAAGGAAAGTGGAACTCTCTGAACCTTGGACTTGCTACACATGCATATCGCTGTCTCTCTCTCTCTCTCTCTCTCTCTCTCTCTCTCTCTGACAGAGGTAAACCTTACCGGCTTTTAGAGAGAGCATACAGAGTTTGAACTTTTCAACTGCGTCTTGCCAGAAAAACTTTGCTCGCAGCATCAGTGCAAACTCTGCTCTGCATGTGAATCCTGCTGGCTACCCTCAGCCGCAGGCTAGTGGATTCTCCTGTCCTGTAACACCACCGTTTCCGCGCTACAAATTTCATCATCTCGAATCAGATACCACGCTGAAAGCTGTGGAGCAAAAAGAACAGGCTCAGCTCCCCGCTTTTCCCCGCCGCAACCGCGGCCGCTTTAGGCCTCGTTCGGTTACCACAGTTCCTGGCCAGAATCATTTCTGACCTGCGGTTTCTTCAATATTTTGAATAGCACCGGAACCATTCTTGGCCAGGAATGGCCGGGAACAGTGTAACCGAACGGCGCCTTATGCCGTCTCGATCGCCTGCTCGATAACGAATAACGATCCTCTCCTCTGGACACCTCGCATCGCATGCATGCCGTCCACGGAGGCAAAAGTCAAACGGCTCTACATTATTCCCTCTCCACTTCGTAATTATCAGCAATCTTAAAATTCCATCTCACATCATCTTGTTCTTGTTCATCAGCTCTAGCCTACCTTCTGGTTCTTCTTTCTGCAGTGCAGCCATATATATATGGCAGCCGAGCGCTGAGCTTTCGTGCAGCGATCGAGTTTCAGTTTCAGGTAGACTGCAGGCAGAGCATCAATGGGGGCGTCGATGTCGACGTCGCGGCAGGAGACGCCGCCGTCCGACTCGTCGCGCGCCGGAGACGGCGGGGCCGTGGCGGTGGTGGCGAGCAGCGCTGCCTCTGGTACTGGTAGCAACAGCAACCAGGCCCAGTCGAAGAGGGCGCCGCTTCCTCACAAGTTCCATGAGATAGTTGCGCAGGCCGCGACGGGCGTCACTGCTGCGGCTGCAGCCGAACTGGAGGATCAGGCGTACAGCACAGGGGTCTACCTGGCTGGAAAAACGAAGGTAAGTTTCAGGCACGAACACGTATACTCCTGAACCTTTGATGCTTACTAGTGCAGTGGGAGTGGCTCGGTGCCACAAGCTAGATCGTCACTGCAGTGCTCACCTGTTGGCGCCACGATTGATGGTGATGCAGAAGTACTGGGTGCACGAGAAAACCAGGTGCAACTGCTTCATGCTGTTCGCGAGAGCACTGTCCATCACTTGGAGCGATGATCCCAGATACTGGATCTGGCATCCCGTCAAAGAAACAAAGTACGTAGTGCTTCAGCAATTAAACATGCATGCTCAATTCAAGTCTTGTTTGTACACTGGCTGACTTTTGCTCTGTTCTGATCTCTGAACCTGCTGCTGCTGGCATATGAAAACCAACTAAGCAGCGACTCCGAGATCGAGGCTGCGTCGCTGCAGAACGTGTGCTGGCTGGAGGTGCACGGGAAGCTGGAGCTGTCGCACCTCACGCCGGGGGCCAGCTACGACGTCGTCTTCCAGGTGATGCTCACGGAGCCGGCGTACGGGTGGTCCGTGCCGGTGAACCTGCGGCTCAGGTTCCCCGACGGCACGGTGCAGGAGCGGAAGGAGAAGCTGCAGGAGAGGCCCACGAAGCAGTGGCTGGAGCTCAAGGCCGGGGAGGTGAAGGCGCAGCCGGGGGGAGTGGGACACAGCGGCGAGCTGGAGATCTCCCTGTTTGAGTACGACGGTGGGCTCTGGAAGAAGGGGCTCCTCATCAAGGGCGTCAAGATCGTCCCAAAGGAGTGATTACGTGCCATTTGTTTCATTTCGCTTTTATTTTCCTGCCAGGGTCAGGGTGTGCCAAAAGCCCAAAAGAACTTCGAAGATCGATGAGATACGTGGAATAATGACGTGTGAGGCACGGCATATTTCAAGGTTTCGCTCAATCTCAAGAAATATATAAAAAAATTCTTACAATTGAAATGAAATAATCTATGGCCTTGTCATCTCAATTTACGTGTGTTGGAGTAGATTAACTTCTATTTTACACACCAGTACACGTAAAATAAAGTGGATATGAGTGTATCCAAACAAGTCCTAATATTACACAAAAAGTCCTCTAATAATTTGATCAATGTCCAAAAATTCCACTCAACCTTCCATACCGGCCCTATGCCTTGTGCACTTTGTTGTCCATGCTGATCACCAACCAGTGGCGGGGTAGAAATGCAATTTTTCTGTTGTTAGAGAGGACCAAATTTTGATTTCTTTTTTCAGTGGTAACTGCATTAGCTTAGTAGGGTTTTGCCCCAAGCCTCTCCCTGCCTCAACCATCGCTGACGTGCCGCGCCCTGTGGATGTGTCGTTTACTGGCCGATCAGCAATGTCAAATGCCTCTTGCTCATGTCTCCTAGGTACTTTCCTCTGTTCCTAATTATAAGTTGTTCTGATTTTTCTAGGTATCTATGTTTTTATCATGCACCTAAATATAGGCTCTACAAACACTACCGGAAACCGGCGATTTGCCGAGTGCCAAGGCTTTGCCGAGTGTATTTTATCGGGCACTCGGCAAAGACCGTGTTTGCCGAGTGCCAAATAAAATACACTCGGCAAACAAAAACACATGGCAAAATACGTCTTTGCCGAGTGTTTTTTTCTGGCACTCGGCAAAATGTATTTTGCCGAGTGCCTTTGTTTTGGCACTCGGCAAAGAGGCTTTTTTGCCGTGTGCATTTTTTTTGGCCCTCGACAAATCATTTTTTGAAGCAATTTTGAGGCCCTAAATGAATTCAAATGAAAAACTTTTCAACTACAAAGTTGTATAACTTCTTAAGATCTACAAAGTTTATTTTGGTTATTTCTTCATTTGACAAAGCGACAATAACGTTGTTCATAAAATCTACATCTCTCATATCTCTTATATTAGTTTCATAAAAGTAGAAGATAGATATATAAGATTTATGAACAATGTTACTACCACTATGTCGGATGAATAAATGACCAAAATAAACTTTGTAGATCTTGATAAGTTATGAAATTTTGTAGTTGGCAACATTTTGATTTGAAATCATCTTGTCATGCAAAAACGACGTTTGAATTTGAAAATTTTAAAATTTGAATTTTTCAAACGACCTCGGATGAAAAAACTTCCTAAATGAAAATTATAGATCTCCAAAAGTTATGAAACTATGTAGTTGACAACTTTTTGATTTGAAATCATCTTATCATGCAAAACTACGTTTGAATCTCTCAAATTTAAAATTCAAAATTTTCAAACGACCTCGGATGGAAAAACTTACTAAATGAAAATTGTAGATCTCAAAAAGTTATGAAACTTTATAGTTGACCACTTTTTGATTTGAATTCATTTAGGGCCTCAAACAAGCAATTTACTCTCAGTTTGCCGAGTGCCTTTTTTCTAGCACTCGGCAAAGCCGAATTTTGCCGAGTGCCTATGTTTTGGCACTCGGCAAAGAGGCATTTTGCCGTATGCATTTTTTTGGCCCTCAGCAAATCAGTTTTTCGAATCAATTTTTGAGGCCCTAAATGAATTCAAATGAAAAAAAATTCAACTACAAAGTTGTATAACTTCTCAAGATCTACAAAGTTTATTTTGGTCATTTCTTTATTTGACAAAACGACAATAACGTTGTTCATAAAATATACATCTCTCATATTAGTTTCATGAAAGTATAAGAGAGATATATATGATTTGTGAACAATGTTACTACCACTAGGTCAGATGAACAAATGACCAAAATAAACTTTGTAGATCCTGAGAAGTTATGAAATTTTGTAGTTGGCAACATTTTGATTTGAAATCATTTTGTCGTGCAAAAGCGACGTTTGAATTTGAAAATTTTAAAATTTGAATTTTTCAAAAGACCTCGGATGGAAAAACTTCCTAAATAAAAATTGTAGATCTCCAAAAGTTATGAAACATTGTAGTTGGCAACTTTTTGATTTGAAAACATCTTGTCATGCAAAACTGTGTTTGAATTTTAAAATTTTAAAATTCAAATTTTGTAAACGACCTCGAATGAAAAAACTTCCTAAACTAAAAGTGTAGATCTCGAAAAGTTATGAAACTTTGTAATTCACAACTTTTTTATTTGAATTCGTTTAGGGCCTCAAACAAATAATTTACACTCGGTTTAGTATAATATATTGGGAACTAAAACGGAATCAGGACACAAGTGATAGTGTGGTGTAGTGGTAGAGGAGGTTTGTGCGCAGTGGGAGGTCTTGGGTTCGAATCCCGTCGGCCGCGTAGTCGTGAAATTTACGCGAAAAAAGCCGGAGATGGATGGGCGCTGACCGGTGGGGGCCTCCACCAATTAAAAAAAAAATTCCATTTTTTTGGGTAAAAATTTCCATTTTTTTCGGGTTTTTTTTCGGTTCCAACTTTGCCGAGTGTCAGTGCCCGACAAAAGACACTCGGCAAAGACGTCTTAGCCGACTCTTTTTTTTGCCGAGTGCAGCACTCGGCAAAGCCTTTGCCGAGTGCAAATTGGGCTTTGCCGAGTGCCCCTGGCACTCGACAAATTCACTGAGTCCGGTAGTGAAATATAATAAAACTTATGTATTTAGAATGGAAGGATAGTATTTAAGGTTTATTTGCTTAATCCATAGAGAAATGGACTAATTGAGAGAAAAAAGGGAGGCTGAAGAGTACTTGGAGACGCGAATCGAGCAATAGCTTGGTTGCTAGGTTTCCGGTGGTGGAACCTGTCAGAGTTCAAGTCTTGACTTAGTCTGAGTGTTTGTATTTTCTTAAATTTTGGATATAATGACGCTATTGTTAGCGAGATGTTTGTGGTAACTCCAACTCGTTCTTTTAGAGTTGCTCGTAGAGATAGGGTATATGTATGTTTATAGAGGTGTATATGAGTGTCTTTATTTACACTCTTCTGTGAGTTTTATTACTTTGGTCGGCATGGGCCTTTTGTTGTTGAGGAGGTAGCGAGCGTCGGTACCTGCATCGATAGACGTGAATAATCAGTTCCCATAGATACAAACGTGAATAATCAGTCCCCGTTCGTTTTTTTTAAAAAAACTCAATAGATATATATAGCGAGGCAGCTGCATTTTTCAATGACACCTCCGCTCGCGAAGAGTCGCGGCGGACGCACCGCCCCATGTAGTCCTCGTCTGCTTCCCGAGCCAGGGCCACCTGAACCCTACGCCCCGCTTCGCCAAGCGCCTCGCGGCCAAGGGCCTCCTCGTCACCTGCTGCACCACCTCCGGCGTCGGCGCCTGCCTCGCGGCCGCCTCCTCATCGGGGGTCGTGTCGACCGGCGGCGACGGCGTGCGCGTGGGCAGCGGCCGCATCCGGTTCGAGTTCCTGGACGACCACGGTAACGAGAAGGACGACCTCATGCGGTACTTCGAGACGTCCGCGCCGGCAGCGTTCGCCGAGCTGCTCGGGCGCCAGGCTGAGGTGGGGCGGCCAGTGACGTACGTCGTCGGCAACCCGTTCCTTCCGTGGGTGGTCGACGTCGCGGCGGAGGCGGGCGTCCCCGCCGCGGTGCTGTGGGTGCAGTCGTGCGCGGTGCTCTCGCTCTACTACCACTACGCGCGCGGGCTGGTGGAGTTCCCGCCTGAGGATGACACCGACGCGCGGGTCGTGCTCCCGGGCCTCCCGCCGCTGTCCGTTGCCGATGTGCCGTCGTTTCTGCCCCCGTCGAACCCGTACAAGATGATCGCCGACGCGATACTGGGCCAGTTCCGCAACGTGGACAAGGCGGCGTGGCTGTTCGTCAACTCCTTCACGGAGCTCGAGCGCGACGTGCTCGCCGCGCTCCCGGGCGTCACGCCGCGCCGCCGCAGCTGATCCCCGTGGGCCCGCTCATCGAGCTCGAGGAGGACGGCGCCGCGGTGCGGGGTGACCTGATCAAGGCCGCGGACGACGACTGCGTGGGGTGGCTGGACGCGCAGCCGCCGCGCTCCGTCGTGTAGGTGGGCAGCGTCGTGGTCCTGTCCGCCGAGGAAGTCGCGGAGATGGCGCACGGGCTCGCGTCCACCGGCCGGCCCTTCCTGTGGGTGGTGCGGTCGGATACCCGCCGCTGCTCCCGGAGGGGTTCCTGGACACCGTCGCGGGATGCGGCATGGTCGTGCCGTGGAGCCCGCAGGAACGCGTGCTGGAACTCCACGCTAGAGACGGTGGCCGCCGGCGGCGTGCCCGTGGTAGCTTTCCCCCAATGGGGCGACCAGTGCACGGACGCCAAGTTCCTGGTGGACGAGCTCAGGGTGGACGCCGCCGTGGCGGGGCCAGAGGCCGACGCCATGCTGTCCAGCGCCAGGTCGTGGAGCGCGGTGGCCCGTGCCGCCGCGGCGCCCGGCGGGTCATCGGACCGGCACGTCCAGGAGTTCGTCGACGAGGTTGTGCGGCGAGCGTGTGGAACACTGCTACAGTAAGCATTTGTAGTAGGGGCGGCTGGAGATCGTTTGTAGCCTCTATCGTACCGTCTCTACAAATCATGTATTTGTAGGGGTGGTCGGTACTGTAGCCACCCCTACAAATCGATTTGTAGGAGCGGCTGATAACACCAGCTGCCTCTACAAATTGATTTGTAGGAGCGGCTACAGTACCAACCGCCCTACAGTACATTTTTCAGCTAAACAAATTTAAATTTACATTTTTTAGCAAATCCGAAGTCTGTTCCTGTAAATTTTCTAATAGTAGTTATGTGTTGAATTTCTTTCCTCTGGGTTGTCAAAGTTGCTGGGACAATGATCACAAGATTGATTGTCAACAATTACTAGGACATAAATTTTGTCTGCATCAGGTCCTGCACATATACAGAGGATCTAATATGTTAGTGACAGAAAGGGAAATGTGTTATGGCAAAATATTAGCAGGCCAAATAATTACAATGTTTTGTCAACAACACAACAAGTATGATGTTAGTGTGGACGCAAGTTAACTTAACGATATCTGTGCATCAAGAATTCAGGATAAATGAATATAACTTATTATGATCAAGTAAATTCAAAGTTCACTAATGGCAGAGTTTAACATAATACAACAGACCTATGAAATACTGCAATAGCATATGATAAGCAATGCAGATGTCGGACTCTAGGTATCACAAGTGCATACTGACAATCTACAAGTGCCGTCACAACTTGTTATTTCTTGTGAGGATGTGGTCCAAGTTTGTTTGTGACTAGAACTACCTACACAGTACATTTGAGTCATTACTAGTTCTTTGCTAATCAAGTAATCCTAGAAGACATTCAAACACGAATAGTTGTATTGCAAGGTAAAGAATAGGCTTGCAAAAGCTAGAAAAGTACATATAAACCAATCTCAACAAAGAAGATCCTAAATTTGATCACTATATATTATATAGGCATAGAAGACAACGAGGACAAATTGAAAATACAGAAGCAATATGTCAGTGTTGGAGAGCTTGCATTATGCTTTACACATGTTTAAATCTAGCATATTCCAGTAGCTTGAAAGCAGCAGCAGGTATCCCCAAACAACACGAACACATCTATGCAGATAAGAAATTGGAAGCATGATCTTATAAACCTGATGGTCAGGGACCTTCCCAGATGTTGCTCACGTCCTGCAGTGATCAAACACGAAGGCCCAAACGAAGCATAAGCACACAAGCACCAGAAAAAAGGAAGATTTCGCAAGGGGGGACATCGGAGAGCAGTTGAATAAAGCTGGAATAAATAGCTAGAGGGCATCCAATATTTGGATCTTCTTTCTAGTATGATCAGGTTAAGCAATTGAACCTCACTAATACAGTTGATGTCATCTGGATATAAAGACAAAAAAACAGCAAAACAAAAGCATTTAACCAGAAAGAAATTAGTAGAAAAGTAAATTATAGATCTGTTTTATACTGCGTATATTCAAATGGGCAAGAGTTTACGCTCAGGAAACCTAGAGAAGCATATTTGCTGCTTTACCACCATTGTTGTCTCTAACCAAGCACCACTTCAGAAAAAAAACAACTACTCCATACGAGTTTAAGGTTCAGTAATAATTGACCAAGGATCACAGCTTCCTCTATTTAAGTTTGATTCCCTGGGATTACATAACTATAGGCTTCTATATTGATTATGACAGGTTCGACCTTTTTCATTGTAAATTGCACTAAAAAATAAAATCAAACGAGTAAAACACTATTCTGACAGCATGGATTTATTAAATCGGATACTTGAAGACATAAGAGCCCAAATAGTTTAATCTAGAAGGCCTGCTGCAACGCCATCTTCTAATTTCAATTGCAAATTCCAGTGGCAAATTGCTAATGGCAAATATGTAGGATTGCTCTATACGAGTTTAATCTAGAATGCCAATCACTTGTACGTCTATGCGCAAATCCATCAGTAGTACTAACCCTAGATCCATCAGTAGTACTAACCCTAGATCCCCAATCATGCACAAATCCATCAGAAGTAAGAGATCACCATGACAACAGATACCAGATTTGGGCGTGAAGTAGGCGGAGGAGCATGACAATGAGGGGGCACCAGACTCCGGCAGCTGCCGGCTGTCGCCAAACCGTATGGCGGTGGCAACGGTGGCCGACCCAGCACGGCAGTTGCAGCATCGGCCGCCCGGCCGTTGGCTCCTCGGTGGCCTCCTGCAGGCTGCACTGCCGCAGCCCTGCCCTCGCCGCCGCCGCCGCTGCTCGTAGCCCCACGCCGACGGGTTCCGCGCCACCGCCCAGCCCTAAGCTCAGCAACAGTCGTGGCGTCGCGTGCCTGCCGGCGGCTACAACCGCACGTCGCCTCGCCCGCTGGCCGCGGAGCCCGCAAGCTAGAAAAGTACATATAAACCAATCTCACACTACTGGCCAGATCCACGCGGCCTAGTCTCCCGGATCGGCGCAGACGCCGCCACTGCCCACGGCCTACGTAGTCCGTGCGGCCACCGCCTCCTAGGCCTGGCTGTCCGACGCGGCTACCTCGATCTACGCCGCTGCAGCTCACGGACAGAGGAGCAAGGAGGCCGGCGGCGGCAAGTGCGGGTGCCAAACCCTAGCCAGTGTGCACCCTCTGTTTTATATGCGTGCAAGTACTAGCGCCTCTCGGGTGGGCAGAAAGGCCGGCGTGGCCCTAGACCTAGGTTAGCTGCTCGTAAGTTTTCAGTCGCGGCATTTGTAGGGGCGGCTCAATCACCAGCCGCCCCTACAAATAGCAACACCGGGGGCGGCTGGTGAGTGAGCCGCCCCTACAAATCCTATCCATTTATAGGGGGCTCGTATCACCAGCCGCCCCTGCTGTTCTATTTGTAGGGGCGGCTGGTCTCGTGGATCCCGAACACGCCATTGTAGAGGCGGCTCCATCACCAGCCGTCCCTAAAAAAAATTTATTCCGTTGCTACAAACCGTTTTTCACGTAGTGGAAGGCAGCCAGACGAGGTTACAATGAGCGGGTAACCTGTCCTTACTCCACGTACACAGGCCCTCAAGATGTTAATTGCTTCCATGTCAGCTCATTTGGAACGTGAGTTTTTTTTCTATTTCTTTTGTTATTCCTGTAAAAATAAATTGATTCATATTATAAAACTCCTATGTAATTTCTGTGAAATCCTGTATTTCAAAGGACCCTTTGTCTGTTAGATGCCTATCTATTTGTGAGATGCCTATCTACTTTGTTGTTGCAAGTGAATGCTAGACTAGTTGGTCTGGCTGTGCGCTTTGCACCCTGCCGGCTAGAGTTCAACCCCCACGAGGGCGGATTTGTTGGTCGGAGGATGCGCAGTTTATTTGCGTGTTGAAAAAAATTTCCTCGTCTGCCCCACGCCAAAGCACAAGTCTAAGGCCAGCCCAGTCTCACGAGAGCTACGGTGCCGCTGTGTATGGGTGGGACAGAGGTTCGGTCTTCTTCTTAAGCACAATGCCCGGGGCTGTCTTACCCCCGCGGGTCGAGTTTTTTTTAATCTACTTTGTTGTCTGCATGAAAAAACACGGATCCGAAGAGCCGTTTGGTAGTTAGGGTTTCTAGTTTCGGTCTCTTGACACAATTCGGAAGACAACCAAATATAAAAACAGTTTCTAATCTCAAGAAAAGCCAAAGATCCCCATCAACCAGGAGGTGGTTATCAGTTTTAGAGATACTCTATCTATCCTAAAATATAAGAGATCCTGAGTTTAAATTTTTACCAAGATTTAGATATTCTACTAGGTTCTTATAAACGCCTGCCCCACTCTCCTCGTCTTTATGGCAGGAAATACTTAGATTTTTTTAAACATGGTGTCACACAAAAGAGTCGTCCGGTAGCTAAGAAAAGTAACAACTGAACTACTCTCTTTGTTTTAATTAGTGAAGGGCAAGATAGTCTTTTGCAAGGCTCCTTATTTGCCTTAGGATCACTTGAAGACCTTATATTTCAAGACATAAGGTGTAGAACAGGACTGGAAAACCATAAAAATGGGATTTCTCATAATCCAGAAATCATTTCTTTTAATCCAAATTAAGCTATCATCCTAGTGGTTTGAGTTTTTTAATTCCAACACACGTTTGTGCATAGGGCATTTTTTGATCCGCTAGAGCTAGTTATCAGTTAGAGCTAAAAATGAATCTAAATTAGCTAAGGTTGGCTAACAACTAGTTGAAGGATTGACTAAAAAATTAGCTCATCTATTACTATACTATCTAGATAGACTAGAGCTAAAAATTAGTTAGCTAACAATTAGTGCTATATATCAAATGGATCCTGTGTCTATGTACTTCTTATGTGCATGAAAAGATACAACCCTGAAGGGCTAGTTAAGTAGGCTTTTCCATTTCAGTTGCTTGCATGAACCGGAAGCAAACACATGTAGTTGCAGAAGAGAAACCGAGAATCTCTACTAAACAGTTTTTTACTTCCATTAATTAAAACAATGTATCTAGAAAAACTAAAACCATCTTAAAGCATCTCTAACAGATGTGGTAAAATAAATAGCCAAATTACATAGTTTAGCTCTTTTGTAAAATATAGAAGTCCTAAAAAAAGAAGAGTTTTCCAATAGTCTTGCTATTTCTCATCTTGTATATTAAAAAATTGCCACGTTCGTCAACTACCATGGACCTATTCCACCTGCCGATTGAAATTTTCTACGATATATTCCTTTGGAGTCGTCCGCAGCAACGTCCTGGCGGCGGCTGTGCTCCTTCGCGTCAATAGAAGATCGTCGCATTCTGGGCTCCTGGCGGCGACATCGCGCGTGCGTCACCAGCACAAGACGCTGATCCTGGTGGCGACGGGCTGCTGCTACCCTGTACGTGTTCAGGTAGGTCATCGTGTATCCTTGATATGATTTTTCTTTAGGTCATGTTATCAAATCAGTAGATCGACACTCATCTTCTTTCTTTAATCCTGGTTAGGTGTTCAAGCAGATTCCTAGGACCCTCCTAATCAAAGGTTCATAATGGAATTTGAAGATGTAGTTAACGAGCTGATGGATTCTTCGTCGTCGTCGTCGTCGTCATCGTCGGATGATGACGATGAGGTATATACTGCAGCAGAGCATATAGTACTATCAGACATTGTCAATCCAGCATGCCATCGTGGATCCGTAGAGCGACATCGTGTTGTGATTCGTGATAGGCAGTCGGGACACTGCAGATTGTATGAAGATTATTTCTCAGATAATCCTACGTATGGACCGAGTTATTTCAGGCGTAGGTTAATTCTCTTAAATTTTATTGACCTATGTTTAGTGTATGCATTGAGGTCTGAATAATTTTTTTAATCTGACGTCATAGGTTTCGAATGCGGCGTCACGTGTTTGTCCGCATAATGAATGCCGTTGAGAAGTATGATGACTATTTCGTGTAGAAGAGGAATGCAGCCGGAACCCTAGGACTATCTTGTTTGCAGAAGGTGGTGGCGGCATTCCGGATGTTAGCTTATGGAGTAGCAGCTGATGCTATGGATGACTATATCCGTATTGGGGAGAGTACTTCTCTAGAAAGTCTTAGAAAGTTTGTCAGAGCTGTTGTTCAGGTATTTGGACATGAATACTTGAGGTTGCCCAATGAGGATGATACTGCCAGATTACTTGCGATTGGTGAGAGTAGAGGTTTTCCTGGCATGCTTGGTTTCATTGATTGTATGCACTGGACCTGGAAGAATTGTCCTTATGCATGGCAAGGTATGTATAGGGGACATAAAAAGGAGCCTACAATTATTCTTGAAGCTGTTGCTTCTAAAGATCTTTGAATTTGGCATGCTTTCTTTGGGATGCCAGGTTAGCACAATGATATAAATGTTCTTCACAGATCTCCTATATTTGCAAGGCTTGCTGAAGGTCAAGGGCCATGGGTAAATTATAGCATCAATGGGAATGATTATACTATGGGTTACTATCTAGCAGATGGTATATATCCATCTTGGGCCACATTCGTGAAGACCATACCCGAGCCACGGGGTAATAAGAACAAATATTTTGCAAAAGCACAAGAAGCTTGTAGGAAGGATGTCGAATGAGCATTTGGGGTTCTACAAGCTCACTTTGCCATTGTTCGAGCACCGGCACGTGTGTGGGATGAGGATACAATTCAACTTGTCATGACGGCTTGTATCATTATGCACAATATGATTGTTGAAGACGAGGGAGTTGACGAAAAAGATTTCAGATATGATGATGTGGGAGAAAAGGTGACTGTATCACACGATGCTACACCTGAGTTCGATGCATTTATGCAGAATTACAAGAAGATCAAGGACAAGGAGACACACACACAGCTTCAAGCCGACCTTATCGAGCACTTGTGGCATAATTTTCCAGATTTATATACAAATATTACTGTTGAATAATTTCATTTACTATCACAACATCAAGGCATTATATATTAGTTTCCAGACCTATGTTCTTTGTTTGATTTACTAGATACTGTAAAAGTTCAAGGCATATTTTTTTTGTAACAAGCTTGCCTTTCATTTATATTGAAAGCCTGAATGTTTTGCTTGAAAGCCTGCAACACTAGTTGCAAACATTGCTTTGATGCAAGGAATGGTTCTTTTTCCCTGTTGCATGTACAATGGCTCTCAGATGCAAGTACTTGTACTGCAGAGCAGAAGGGCAAACTTAGTCCTCCAAAAATAGTTTGTTGTCAGTTTCAGACCAACATGTCTTTTGTTGACAGTTTAGCAGTGGAAGCACTCACCATAGCCTGACAGGACTCATTTGTTAAAAACATAACTGTACATTTGTTAAAAACAGAAAACCCCAGATGCAAAGGTACAAAACACTAGGCAGGTTGCAATACATAATACAGTAGCTGACTAAATTAATCTGCTATGAAGAGGACCTCAGGGCAGTGTCCAACCTGCACTTCTATGTATTGTCGAACAGGCTACAGTTGGTTCCAGAGAGCAAATGCAGTGTCACGAGCCCAAATATATTTGTGATGGTGCAAACGTCAAAAGCAGCTCCTTTACAGAATAATATAGATAACAAGGTTCATGCAAGAACATTAATCAATCTGATATGCTGTGAACTAAAATGTTTCAGAAAATTAAACATGTCTCACACTATGCTCAAATCTAAAAAATTCGAAATCATGGTTCTACTAATTTCCAAGCCGTCTTACAAGTATTTTCTTCTGTTGATCATCGTAAAACTGTTGCTGTCTGGTTGACATGGTGCTCATATCAATATTTATAATTATTTCTTCTTCTCGATCCCGCTCAAAATCAATTTTTTTTGTCAAGTTAAGGCAAGGGCTTTTTGGCACATCTCTTGTTTTTTCAACTCCCTCTCCTCTTTCTTCAACTCCTTCTCAGCATCCACCTCTTTCTTTTTTGCCAATAAATAATCCAAAGCTTCAATGCTTGAATGCTGCTTTAATTTTAGATTTTCCTTCTTAGTCCCTGTAGGCCTCGGCACTGTGGTTATTGTGGTTTCAGTCTCAGCTACAGTACCAGTGACAGGGTCTGGTGCATCAATAGCAGGAGTTGAATCAGTAGTGGTCTTTTGCTTTTTGCTTAATGGTTTCTGAGGTCCAGTTGGCTGGCGCCTATTCGTCCACTTCGAATGGTCTTTCAGTATTTTTCAGCAATGTATGTACTGGAAAGTCCTGTGTAATGGGTCGTTATTCTTATACATAGTTAATGCATTTGCTTGTTGTAATGGGAAACAAAGATGACACATGAGATTCAGCTAAAACATATAGGAAATTAGCATGTGAAGGTAGGTCATCTAACCTTGTCATCAACAGATGCACCACTCTGATTTCGGGCCTCTACCTTCGAAACACAACCAGCAAATATGTTGCAGTCATGTAGTATACTAGACCACCGACTCATTAGAGAACTTTGTGTGCGATTAGATTCAAAATCCTTTTTTGAATGAAAGTAATCATGTATTCTTTTCCAATAGGTATCTTTTGATTGATTGGCTCCTCTCACAGGATCCAAACTCACATTTAGCCACGCTGACACCAACATCTCGTCCTCTTTAAGAGTCAAATTTTTGGACCTTCTTTTATTTCCTTTGACGGTAGCAGGGACCTCATCGCGTGCTTGTATTTCATTATGAGGTGAGATATTGTCAGACACTCCACCTGGAGGGAAACCTTCCATAATCATATCGGTCAAAGATCTGCCTGAATCCATTTCGGCTGTAAAAACAAATAGCGACAAAACTTAGCTACAGAATGTTAGCAATTTAGCTTGTTGCCGGATATGTACAGTAGGCTAGCTATTTTCAGTTTCCATTCATTTAACGTTTCAAACATTCAATGAGTACTTTTAATTAGCAGATAGAGTTTTAGACATTCTGAAACTCTAGCAACTTAGTTTCAGACAATCTGTTAGATTACCATAATGGATTGTCCTAATTTGCAGTTTACAAGAAATGCTTGAATAAAATTGATATTTGACAAAAAAAGACAATATATCTTCAACATGAACCTAGCAATCAGATGAACATAAATTTCTTGGGATGTAAACCAAAGCTACAGAATAATTTAGCCTGTTGCCGGATATGTACAATAGGCTAGGTATTTTCAGTTTCCATTCCGTTAGCGTTTCAGGCATTCAGATAGTGTCTTCCAGATAGTGCCTTTTCTACATCCATTTGTCAAGATCTATTACAATGAAGTGAAGAAAATCGAGTGCCCATGACTGAACATTGTGAAGTCAGCTCACTGCAATTTTCAAAGGTAGGCCACAAAGGAATATTTAGGCGACAAAGCACTATTATGCAGTACATCAGGAGTCTAGGACAACTGCATATCACCAATCATATGAAGCTGCTGATGAACTCCCTGCCAACTATAAGACACTAACAGAGGAGCGTAATTATCATCCTCCATCATCAGCCACCAGTCACTACTACCACTTTGATATCACCTCACATTCTCACCCCACAAAAACTTCAAGCGTCATGTGTGCCCACTGAATTCACTGAATACAACTGAATAGGACAATGTGCAGATGGAAAATTGGCACTACGGTTTCCACAATAGCAATAGAAATTTGGGGAAACAATAATGGATGTATTGAACAACGGTGAGAGAGGCCCACTGAAAATTAGACTCACCGGAGCACACGTCGAGGAATGGATTCGATGCAGTAGCAGCAGCACTGTTGGGTGGAAGGACTTGTCGTTGCTGGCCTCCTTGCGCCGCATTCTCCAACCACGGCAGCACCGGGGAGTCTTGCTGCAGTTGGGATCTCCCATCCGCCTGCTGCTCCCATCCAAACTACTGCTCCCATCCACCTGATGCTGCTCCAATCCGCCTGGTACTCCCATCCGCCTGTTGTTGGAATAAAAGGGCAGCGTAGTTGGGATCTCCCATCTCAGACGGCGGAGCCTGTCCATGAGGACGCTGCGACATCACAGCGAATAAGGAAAGGGCGATTCAGAGGGCCAGCGAGTAGCAGCTTCCGTGGTGCGGCGGCGGCAGGGCCGGCGAAAGGGAGGAGGCAATGGACGAGCTTGGGAGTTGGGAATCGTCGAATGGAGCGGGTTGGGCCTGGATCCCCACGATGGGAGAGTTCAGTGCGCGGGCGGGAAGCTAGTTTCTGGCGCGCGGGAAGGATCGCGCGTGCGGGGCATCCACCGTGGCCAGCTATTTCGGAAGATGGCGAGCCAGGTTTGCTTGCTATCTATGCCCAACGAGATTTCAGGGATAGCATACTTGCTATTATACAAAACCAAATAGAATATCTGCTGGAGTTCAATTTTTCCTATAAAAATCTAAATATACCATATAGAACAAGGATAGCATATCTCCTGGAGATGCTCTTACAGTTTAAAACGGAAAGAGTAGGAAACATAAGGAAGCCCCGTTTTGCAGGGGTTCCATTTCTTGGATAGAACCTGATTCTAAATCCCTGAGGAATAAGGCTGCTTTCTAGTCTGTAGAATATGTCACAAAATCGTTTGGTAGAGATACTCCTACTATTGAAGAGGAACAGTTTGAAGGATTCCTACCAAACAGGACCACGATTTCTGAAGTTCTAGAGAGCATTTCTTCCAGAAAACCGAACGAGGAAGCTCCGGTATGTGCCGAACTGAATAGTGCATGGCGAAGCTTCACTTTTGCGTTGAATTCATGTTTTCCACTAAAGGTCCTATAAGAATCGGTTCCGATTCTCTTTAGAATCACTACACTTCCAAACGGTCAAACACGATACTGATTCTAGGTAGAAACGTTTCTAGTGATTCTCTCTTTTTGTACTAGAGATTTCTTGCGTTCCCACATCTCATCTAATCTAGAAATATTTCTATTGATCCTCTTCGAGTAAAACCAATTAAAATTGGTTGCTTTTGATTTGATCTTCGCGCATAAAAAATGAACATTTTTTTTTGCAAAACCTATACATTTTATGATTTTTTTCATGTAAACCAACGATTTTCGCCATCCTTCAAGAATCAAAATCCGACCAACTTGCCAAACGATTTGAGAAAGCGATTCTGATTCACCAGAAGAAACGTTTCTAAGAAGAAACTGAATCCAAAACGTTTCTGAGAGAATCACGCCCTAATTGTACAGTTGTGTTCCTGATTAATTGGTGTTTCATCAACTAGTCTACCTGTCTTTATGTCTGTATATCTGCACAGTGTGACATCTGAGACCTGTCCAAACCTCCAAGGACTCCAAACCGCCACCCCACCACATGAGGTTTTCTTTTCTATACTTGTTTTTAAACGCCAACATTTCTTTGCTGCGTGCAGCACGAAAGATTAAAAAATTTGGAAAACTGTCCAGAGCCAGAGTATTTTCTGCAGGTCGTGTACCACGCTCTGATGGTGATGCCACGGATAAGTGTGATCCATCCTTACCAGGATATAAATGGCCAACCGCCCAACCTACTCGATCCTCCATTCAAGTTCAACGGCTATTCATTTTTTTTTTTTTTTCTAAAATGAAAAATACACTATCCATGTTTACGTCATAGGGTCCTGCAATTTCAAGCGATAGGTTAGTCAACTCCCGGCAGCCGAGCCGTAACATTCTTGCTTCTTTTTAATGGCATATGTGCTCCACACGTTTTCGAGAAAACAAACAGCCGCTATTCAGGGTGTTTGTTTGTACTACCTACGTTCTGAAAACGTTACAGTTCGTTCTATCCTTAGTAAAACTATCTAAAATTTAATCAAATTTATAAAAAGGAAAGTATTAATATTTACGACACTAAATATATATACTATAAAAATATATTCTATAATGAATATAGTTGACAACTTATTATTAGTGCCAATATTTTTTATAAACTTAGTCAAATTTAAAATGATTCAACTCGATACGGTACTGTACTATAATTGCATTCTTTTCGTCCAGGCGGAGGGAGTATTCTCCTTTCGTTTTGTTTATTATTTTTTTCATTTGGATTATATTACTACCACTACCGTGAATTACGAGGGGTTAGGGATTGCTGAGCTACAGCCTGCAGCCCGGCATTGCTGCAGGACATGATGTAGGTAGTGACGTAGAGGTAGCTCAACTGTATCGATGGTCAGTAGCTTCTAAAATCCAGATAAACTCTTGAAATTACTCCCCAAAACGTCTTTTGTTTTATAAGCCCCAAAAGTCTGGGGCATGGTTACTGTCAAACCGAGATATTGCTAAATACCCAATCTGCTGGCGGCTGGCCAAAGTTGATTATTGAACAAGTGGAACATGTTGGCCTGTAAAATGTGGCAACGAATGTGTTACATCACAGCAAGAAGAATGCGCAGCCGCAGGAAGATTCTAAAATGACTGAATGCTATCTATAGGCTTGGGCATGGGCTCATCTCGCAGGAAGTGCTCGAAGAGCTTCAGGCCCTGCCGCGGACGGTGCAGGGGAACCTCGTGCCCTGCACCTCGGATCGTCACCAGTGTCAATCCCTTGTACACTTGGCACCACCCGCCAACCTAAGCAAGATTCACACAATTAGATTCCAGCACGAAGAAGGCAGTGAAAATGTCAAGGTGGATGTAATGGTGACACTGACTAACCTCTTCATCGTCGTACCAAGGATACCAGTTTGTGACAGTTGGTAGAAAGAGGGCATCAATGGAGTATCTTGTCGCGGTGAGGGGGACAACAGAATCAGCATCACCACTGCCAAATTGTCCAATGTAAGAGATTTGTAAAATCCACATCCAAAAGAACAACCACACACATTGATTTATCATAAATTTCTTATGTTAAACATCAGCAATGTTGCCACTTCCAAAGATTTAGAGTTGAGCGCAAACCATGATCTAAACAGAAACTCAATGTACCTGAAGACCCATATCCTTAAGCCTGCAGCGATAAGTTCACGGTATATAGGAAGCATCGATCTCGGCGAATCTTTCCAATAATCATACACTGGGTCACTGCAAAGAATCAGTGGTGTTTAGTGCGACTAACTAAGAAGAGGCAGCTTTGCTGGCGATCAAAAGAAATACTTGTGACCAAAGCAAGACAAAACCAGCAGAACAAACCTGCAGGTTACCCAGGGGTATGGTATTCCAGTGACATTGGCATGTAAAGCTTTCTGCACCTCAGGTAAGTTGTAGTACTTGGTGGAATACTTCTCGGTGCAGGGATCATATCCTCTGGGCAACCAGGGCTACATTTGAACAAGTGTGATGTCAGGAGATACATGAATATGAACTATTATGCTTCACAAGTATTAGGCTTCCAGAAGTGTGAAATTACAGTAAGTAGTTGCACAGCTGTCAGAAAGAGTAAGATGTCATGTTTTGGTAGCAAAGCAAATATACCATTCTTCCTCTTATAAGCCTGCGCTTATGAAGTGAAGTCTTCTTACAAGTAGGCGTGTAGATGCTGTATGCATCAATATTGCCTTCCTCAGCCTCAGCAATGTCAAAGATCTTGTTGCATTCCTTCGACGCATGCTCAGATACCTCAAACTGACAGGCCAACCGCAACTTCTCATAGGTTTCATCAGAGATTAGCCCATGTGTCCACATGTACTCAAATGTGCCAATGAAGTCATGGTAATCATCAATTACCGCATTTCCAACCTACAGTATTGACTGACCACTATCATTGTGAACAGAAATGAGGAAACAGAGCATCAATAAAAGATGTAGATTCAAGAAGTTCAGAGTTCTGACCATGAAGCCTTTGAAGTTTAGGATTGGCTTCTTGATGCCTTTGTTGTTCCGGTATACTAGTTGAGACAACTGAGGCACATAGTGGCCTGGAAACAGTCATCGCAACAAATTAGGCTCGAGTGTAAATGTGATTGCTGGGTGACGCTAACTACATAATCTCCATAGTAAATCACTAAATTGGCCAATTTTGACAGCAATTCACCTGCGTAGCTCTCTCCTGTAATGTAGAAATCGCGATACTTGTATTGTGGAAACCGCTCTAACCAATTCACCAAGAAATTGTACGAATCATGGGCTGCAGAAGAGCATTACCCGTAAACATCCGTAAGACGTACGGTAAGAGCAAGAATAACAGTAGGAGAATGGATACATGTAGAGTCCGAGAACTGGACAAATATCTAAATTACTCCCGCAATTCACCTGTCTTGTTGTCACCGGCAGTGTACAGATCGGAGGTGGTGTTGGAGTAGGAGTAGCCGACGCCGGCCGGCGAGTCCAAGAACAGCATGTTCGCCACTGCAACCACACAACCAGCCAGTCATCCCCACGACAAACACGCTACAGATCAGAGTAGGCGAGCGCGCCTAGGCATCAAAATTGGACCTTTATTCCAGGGGTAGGGGTTCAAGTAGAGCGTCCTGCCGTCGGCGTTGATCCGGAAGAAGCCGAGCTCCTCCGACGCGCCGTAGCCGACGGAGGAGCACCCGGGCCCGCCGTTGAGCCAGAGCACGAGCGGCGCGGACTCCGCGGGCACGCCGGCCGCCTCGATGAGCCAGTAGAAGAGGGCCCGCCCCGCGGCCGCGTCGACGGTGACGTAGCCGGAGTACATGGAGAAGTTGACCGGCGGCTGGCCCGGCAGGCTGCCGATGTGGTCCGCCTCAGCCGCAGCCGTCGCGGCCGTTGCGGACGCGGCGCGGAAGAATAGCGCTAATATGGCGGCCAGGACCGCGGCGGCCGCCATTGGCGCTCGCGGCAGGTCACTGGATCGGAGGGCAGCGCTGGTTGATGCAGAGGAGCAGAGCGCACGGACAGACACAGAGTGATGAGGATTGGACTATTGGAGGCTTGGAGTAGAGAGCCAATGGATGGAACGGAATGGCTGCTGACTAGTAGGAGAATTTTGGGGAAGCGTGGAACGGCGCAAGGCAAGGACATGGAGTGGTTGTTTGCTTTTGGAGATTCCGTCATTCCGGTGGTTTGTTGGCTAGGCTGGATCGTCACTCGTCAGATCGGCTGAACCATTTGGGGCGTGTTCGGTTGCCAGCCAAACCACGCGACGCCTAAAGTGCGGTTGCCACACCAACCAAAGCTGCTCTTTGGTTCCCGTCCGTGCTTTGGCTGCCACAGTTTTTCCCCCCCTGTCGTTTTGCTGGTCCTGCTCGTCGTCTAGTGTGTGGCAAGTGTGGCGCAGATTCTGGGCGCCTCGGTTGCGGCAGCGCCACACTGGGCGTGGTTGTGGCGTGGCCAACGCTGGCCGGGAACCAAGCAGCCCTTCGCATCAGTTAGGGCCAACGATAAATTTCCAGTCGAGAACAATGTTTTTTTCTCACACCAAACCAGCCAGCAATAAATAATTCACGATACGATACGGCCTCCCGAACAGACTAAGGCAGCAGCAACCCATGCTAATGCTAATACCTTAATACTCCTTTTGTACTAAACCATATATTTATTCAAAACTCTTTTTGTATTATATTAAACAAATTATTAATCAAGATTCAATGCTACAGCTCTTAATCAAGATTCAATGCTACCGCTCTTTGTTAAACCTAGTCATCCGGGTTTAAGTTAGACTTGACACAAGTGTTCGTATTTTTTTAAATAATATATTTGTGATATTATTTCAATATTAAGCGGCATGATCGTTTTAAAAAATTGACAACTTGATGGCTTTATTTAAGGGCATTATCTTATATGTTTTGTTCCTGCGCAATCGTGAGGTGTCCCCAATTATGGTAACACCGTGAGATTACTAGTTGATGTCGGGGTCTTTCTTAACATGATCATGTCCCTGTGATTCATGAAAGATGATTATGTTGCATGTAGAGGAAGCTGAACTGTATAAATGTCTGAGAGACTCTAAAATTCAGATCAAACTTGAACTTAATCCTTAGAACGTTTGGAGTAATTAACCACTATCGATCTTCTAACCTGCTAATGTGCCACGTGGAGATTTAAACTAGGGTGTACGTATAAAATAAGAAAGCAAAGATACAGGGCGACAATCAGTTCATTTTATTAGCGAGCATTATTTTATTGGACGCAATTAAGGCACGACCGGCCACGTGATTCGGCGAGCATGCGACCCATGTTTCTCCGTGCCGGCATCCTCGTTTCCACCGCTCCCGCCTGACCCCAGCACCTCCCGGCGCCTTGGCTGCCCCGCCCCGTCTCGGTAACACTTCCTCTATCTCTAGAGTGGGTTCGGCTGGCATTAATTAGGCACTGTAGCAGCTGGTTTTCACTGTAGCAGCGGGAAACTAGTGGGAGAAAAACACTGTTTGAGCTGGAAAAAAAAGAACCCAACCAGCCAGAAACGGCCAGCCGAACACTCCCTACAGGTTCCATTTTGCGGAGGTTCCTTTCCTCGTTCTTGAGCTGTCACCTCTTTATTTTTCGAATGAGTGATTCTGGTGTTTGAGAGTAGGGTCAGAAGCAGGTAAAAAACGATTCTGAAGTGATTGTAGTAGGGCCTGTTTGTTCCCTGCATCACCTGAATCAGGCTGGCGGGATGCAGGGACCGGCCGTTTGGTTGCCTGCTCACCTGGTTGAACCAGGCTCTACGCGTGCACGAGCACCCCGCGGCCAGGCTCTGCAGGAACGAGTAAATCGGCCGTTCCTGCCGGGCCTGGCTCGCTGGATGCAGCTGCTTTCACACCTAATGACATTATTAGTGTATGATTAGTGAATATCAAGTGATATTAATGTATTTTAAAGATGTTTAAGACATAGTTAAATAAAATAAGTACTTTAGGAGTGTATTTGCATAAAATAAAAAAATCATATTCATAACCTTGTAATATTTTTATCTCATGCAATATATCTTCATACAAGCAACCAAACAGCATCTCTTCTCAGCCAGGCTAAGTCGACGTAGTCAACCAAACATGACAAGGTCGCATGCACTCAGCCTGTCCCATGTGAGCCAGGCTCTCAGATACGAGCCAGGCTCTACTAGTACGCGAACCAAAGAGGCCCGTAGTGACTGATGAGATGCTTAGGGGAGCAGTGGAGAATACTTTTTTAGATTCCACCTTATAGTATAAATGTAGAAACTCGACCCGCGGTAGATAGATGGCATCTAAGTATTGCATTAAAAAGAAGACATTCTCATGCAGCTCAAAAAAAAAAAACTGAACCCATACCCCACCATACACAGCGCCACCCTAACCTATGTGACCACGACCATGACCAAGGCCAGACCTTTGACTTGTGCTTTTTGGCAACATGACAGATGAGGGATATTTTTAATACCAGCCTAAAAATCCGCTCCGATGCGGAGTCGAATTAGAGAACTGATGCTCGTCAACTCCTTGCTAAAATCCAATTGTATTTTAAATCTTTATTGGCAGGCATCCGTAGAATCCGCTCCAAAGAAACTAGCCAGGAGTGAAACTCTACCAAACTTTATTTAGAACTTCTGGAGCGACCACTATCGATCTTCCAACATGAAAGTGTGCCACGTGGAGTGGTATAAAAATAACTCGAAAGCAAAGATACAATCATCAACTCATTATAGCCATTTTACTGTGCTTATTTCTGAAAGTCACTCGTGAAACAAATTAAAAGGAGTGCAACGTTTGGCCAACGTCAATTATTGATTGGGGACGACAGGTGGAAACATACATGCATGTCCACCTGAAAATGTGGTGGCGAATGTGAAGATGGCTTGCCAAGTCCGGCCTTATTCATCAAGCCAAGCGAGACACAACAAGTTCTAGAACGACTGGACGCTCTCAACAGGCTTGGGCATGGGCTCGTCTCGCAGGAAGTACTCGAAGAGCTTCAGGCCCTGCCGTGGACGGTGGAGGGGAACCTAGTGCCCTGCACCTCGGACTGTCACCAGCGTCAAACCCTCGTACACTTGGCACCATCCACCAACCTGCAGATATGATCGTCCACACCATTACAGACATGGTTAGTGCATGTTGCTGAGAGAGTAATGGGACTGTCAGTTTTGATGTAGTGGTGTCCCAGACTGACCTCTTCATCGTAGTACCAAGGATACCACTTTGTGATCGTTGGTAGAGACAGCGCATCAATGGAGTATCTTGTCGCAGTGAGGGGGACGACAGAGTCAGTATCGCCGCTGTAAATTGTCCAGTGTAAGGGAAGATTAAAATCCAGACTCATTTACCAATCCACTGTACTCCTCAAAGGTAAGCCATGCTCTCAACGATAGAAACCCAATGTACCTGAAGACCCATATCCTTAGGCCTGCTGAGATAAGTTCACGGTAAATAGGAAGCATGGACCTCGGTGAATCTTCCCAATATTCATATATTGGGTCACTGCAAATATTCGGTGGAGTTGAGTGCAAATTATCCGACCTAAAATTAAACAAGATGAAAGCAGTTGAGCAGACCTGCAGCCTATCCAGGCATATGGTATTCCAGTAACATTGGCATGGAAAGCTTCCTGCACCTCAGGTAAGTTGTAGTAGTTTGTGAAGTACAGTTCGGTGCAGGGATCATATCCTCTGGGCAACCAGGGCTACATTTGAACAAATGTGTAGTCAATATGCATGAGCTGATAAATCTAGAGATTCTCACAATAATCAAAAACATTTAGCCTTTAATTTGCTACACTCTAATCATATTCGTCAATAATAGCCATTGGATATTCTTTTACATAAAGGGGTTCTCTACCATTATAAAAGTAAATAAATTAAAGTAACCCCTGCTTTGTATCTACATTACCTAACTAGACTATTATAAAAGATAATATAAAATATCTAATTAAATTTACATCTCACTCACATATACCGTTAGCAAATATAAAGCAAACTAAGCCCTAAATTATTTTTTACATTACCCACATATGCCTTTATGAAAGATAACATAAAATAAGACCCTTAATTTGTATCCAAATTACCAACTTCTATCATTATAAAAGTAACCTAAAATATCCCCAAATCTATGCCAAAATGCCAATAAAAGCTAATTTGGAAAATAATTCGATCAATAACCATAAAGTATGTTTTGTAAGTTTCTAAATCACACACTTTTATCTTCATTAAATTAAAAGTAAACATAAATTCTATGTGCCAGCGACCAAGTAAACAAGCATACATGAGGATAGATATTTATTTTAATAGTTTATCAATTGTGGAAAAATGTGCCCTTAACAAACAACATACCAATTACACTGATGACTCACTTTAAATTATATTAGTAATCATCTATGCTAATAAATTTTGTAAGTTATTTAAGTTATACTCCACTACTCCCTCTCCATACTAAAAAATGAAGTCATTTTGGACAGCGACATGGTCTCCAAAACATAACTTTCACTACTTTTTTTTTATAAAAATATTTATCAAAAAGTGATATATGTAAATTTTTATGAAAGTATTTTTCAAGACAAATCTATACATATGGTTTTTATATTTCCAAACTCAACAACTTAAAAGTTATTCATGATTTATATTCTCAATGTTTGCCCTAAGCCTTGTCCAAAACGACTCTATTTTTTTAGTATGGTGGGAGCATATAAGTTTTGACCTGAACATTATGACATCAAATACTGCTAATTTAATTCTAGGTACTCTATTTTATATAGTAATATTACCACAATTGTGATTTTTCAGTCTAGCAAATTCAATGTCTTGAGTACTGTGGTGCATGCTAAAATGGTTGTTTATGCCATTTAGTAATAAAGAATGTACTCCACCCATTCCAAATTGTATGTTGTTTTTTTAGGTGCTTAGCTTTTACTATACATCTAGATATAGTCTATAACTATAATATATATTTTTTCATAAAATATAAGAATTTTTTTGAATAAAAGATATAATAACCACTAGTGTCACAACTTAACACATGGAAAAAATTGCTACAACTAATAAGATCACAAATGAGAGCCAAAATATAGATTTGTAATCTCACAAAATGGGATGCAACAAGACCTTATATAACTTAAGCTTACTCATAGAGGTGCAATACAAAAGATGACAACATATATCTTAATGTTGCTAACTAGAGGTCCACAATGAAGGCGGAATACAAAAAAAAGCTTAGAAATTCTCATAATAATAAGAAACATCTATCTATTAATACAATCAATTTTAAACATCATAAATAATAACAACAATTGGATATATTTTATTTTCTAAACAAATGTCCACTATTGTTATAATGGAAAACATAAATAATCATCTAAACTACAAATAAACCACCAACCTCTGCCTGTACGAAAGATAGTTTAAACTAACCTCTAAATTTCTTTTAAATTACACGCATCTAACCTTATGAAAGACATTACAAAGTAACCCTTTAATTAGCATCTAAATTACCTACATCATATCTGTCATTGCAAATACATAAACTAACATATCTCTCAAATGAATATCTAAATTAATGATGTAAGCTATTATGGAAAAAAATTAATAACCATAAAGTGCACTATGTTTGTTTCTAAATTACCTAGTTAAACCACTATTAAATTCAAAGTAAATATATATGCTATGTGTCACAATGTATACCAAGTATACATGCATACATTAGTGGTAAATACATATTTTTATAGTTTATCGATCGTGAAAAGAATGCTCCCTTAACAAACCACATACCAATGAAACTGGCAATTTAATTTAAGTTATATCAAAACTCTATGACAATAAATTGAGTAAGTTATTGTTTTAGATAATAATTTTATATATTTTGACTAAAACATTATGACATGTTAGTGCTGGTATTTTAATAGTAACCATCTTACTTCTATTTTATAAAACAATACTATTGCACATATGGTTCTTTGATAGAGGAAATTCAACTCTTGAGTGTAGTGGTGAAGGCTAAAACAACTATTCACGCCATTATAGTAACTAAGAGTGGAGTCTAAGACCTAGATTTCTTTTTTTAATAAAATATAAAATGAAGTTTTGAATAAAAAAACAACAACAAGAACTAAAGTTTGAACTTAACATTTGGATAAAAACAAACTAATAAGATCGATAGTTCAAAGCCAAAATATATGTTCATAATGTCACAAAAGATGCAAAAAGTCGATACAACTTAAGCTAATGTTTAAACTAATGGTGCAATGCAAAGAATGAAAATACATATACAATAATTGGTAAAGCTAACACTATCGAGTAGAGATTACAGAGTATCTTACTGGGTATTGTGTTCTAAAATGGAGAGAGAGAATAAATACAATTAACTTTGATTAGTTGTACACACTAAATTTATCCACAAAATATTTAATGCTTATGCAACTTAACATTCTAGGCCATGTAGGAGCACATATTGATGAGCTACTGTAAATAATATAGTAGATAGTCAAAAAACCGTAGCGAGAATTCAGTGTACAATACTACCATTAGCTATAAGAAAACCGTAAATTTTTGTAACAACTCAAACATACCATTCTTCCCCTTATTATGCCTGCGCTTATCCAATGAAGTCTTCTTACAAGTAGGCGTGTAGAGACTGTAGAAATCAATATTCCCTTGCTCATCATAGGCAACTTCATAGATCTTTTGACATTCCTCGGAGGGGTGCTCAGCCGCATCATATTTACAGGTCGACCACAACTTCCCATAAGTTTCATCGGGAGATAAGCCCATGTGTCCACCAATACTCAAATGTGCCCATGTAGTCATGGTAATCATCAGTTACCGCATTTCCAACCTAGATCATTGACCGAACACTTTTTTTTATTTCTAACTAGAAATGAGCAAACTAATTAAGGGAGGATAAAGCAATCTAAGCTCAAGAAGTTCTAACCATGAAACCTTTGAAGTTTAGGGTTGGATTCTCAGTTCCTTTATTGTTTCGATACACTACACGAGACAGTTGAGGGACATAGTGGCCTGAAAAAGAATCATTGCAACAAATTATGCTGGAGGTACGTATATCTAATCTCTAGATACCACTAGCTGCATAATCTCTATCACATAGAGTTGGCAAATTTTTATGGTAGTTCACCTGCATAGCTCTCTCCGGCAATGTAGAAATCACGATACTTATACTGCGGGAACCGCTCCAACCAATTTATCAGGAAAGCATATGAGTCATGAGCTGCACAACATTAGCAAGAAACATCCATAAGAGCAAGAACAACAAGACTTGTGAAAGTGGAAAATATTTTGGAGAATCAAACTCATTTATCATCGATATTGAAACATGTATATTTACGCAATGTATAGATTTGTTTATATATTGTTGAGATACCAGTGTCATGCAACAGGACACAACAGATTACTAAATCTCGTACCCCCTGTGTTCCAAATTATAAGTCACTTTGACTTTTTTGGTTCATCCATTTTAGTATTTATCTAGACATAATATTATATCTAAATGCATAGCAAAATGGATGAACCAAAAAAGTCAAAGCGACTTATAATTTAAAACAGAGGGAGTATTTGTCAGTAGGTCTATTTCCACATGTGCCTTGATTGGAACAATAGCATGTAGGAATGAAAATTTGTTTTTTCTTGGTACATTAATCCAACAAAAGGTATAACTTTGAGATGTTATGCACTAGCTAGAGAATGTATATTGTCACTTAGCTTGAGATGTTAGTTACTTTTAAAGCTATCATGGAACATACTAATATCGGATGAAGACAAAGTGTGTATTAAAGTTATAGAGCTCGAAGATATTTAGAACTTTGTAGTTTGTGCGATTTTTTCATTCGAAATCATTTAAAGTCCAAAAATTATATTTCAAGTTATCAGGATTTAAAATTATTTTTTCGAACGACCTCGGATGAAGATACGACAAACCAAAGTTGTAGTACTCAGCAAGATCTAAAACTTTTCAGTTTAAAGTTTTTTCAATTAAAATTAGGGTCTCAAATATTCATTACAAGATTCACTAAAGTGAATACAAAAGCAAAGAATCGTCATTTCGTCATAAGTAACTTTGGGGTGTAGTGGTAGGTGAGGTTCACACAAAATCTTAGGTTGCAAGTTTGATTCCTAACTGCACACGCGTGATGGGATTCTCCCAGAAGAGTTTTTTTTGCTATATATATCCTTGGTGGTCAGTACAAATACCTTAGGGGTCGGCCCACAAGAAAATATCTATCCTTGGTGGTTTTAATATTTCGTTGATGCTGCGAAAAAATGATCTGGTCATTGTTTCCTTCATATTGTGAAAAATATATATCATTTGTTGCCACCGGCCTTAAGGTAATTGAATTTCGCTTATCTACTCTTAGCGATTCTTTTCTTGAGGGTTGCGTGCCAGGAATAATTTCCTTGGCCCTGTTTTCACAGTTTCTTTGAGGTTTTTTCGCTCTTAAGGCTATTCTATTATTCTGTCTTGTGGTAGTGTTTGATGTTTTGGAACGTGTACACACGATATATAGATGTGTTTACATGTTGTTGAAATACCAATTTTATACAACAAGATACCTCTAAGGTCTTGTGGCTCCACTCTAATCCACCTTAATCCACATGTATTGTGGTGGATTGATCGAGCTGAAAAACTTGTTAATTTTCCACCCCCAATCCACCTTGTTACATGTAGATTGGGGTGGATTGAAGTGCAGTAAGTCATTGTCAGTAATTAGTTAGTCTGGTGCTCGCTGATTGTGTGCGTAGCATTCACCTGTCTTGTTGTCACCGGCAGCGTACAGATCATTGGTGGTGTTGGTGTAGGAGTAGCCAACGCCGGCTGGTGAGTCCAAGAACAGCACGTTCGCCACTGCAAGCAAAGCAAACCAATCCATCCATCGTCACCATGACAAACATGAGTATATAACAAGCTAGCTTTACTTGCAAAAAAAGTGTTAGATAATCTGCTGCTCCTTGTATGAACGCACGGCAGGGACAAGCGTCAAAAGGCCTCTTGCTGTTGCACTGTGGTTGCTGCAGAGGCAGGCGTCGAAAGGCTCCCCTGCGGCACTGTACCATCAGCAGAAGCAGACGCTAAAGTCAGCCCTGCTGTCACGTCTAGTCACTGTAGCAGTATGGCAGCATGACATGTTTGTGTACTAAAATTAGATGTGTAGAGTTGTATATATAGCTTCTCACAGCAACTCAGTAAAGGGAGCGAGTTCAGTTTTGCTATCTCATCTACAGAGCTCGGGCCAACGTAGGTGTTTGTACTGTGTGTGTGCTATTTTTTCTTCCTTCTTCTACCTCTAGCTATAGTATGTGGTCGGCAACGCTGGTGAGTGATCGGCTCACACGTTGCAAAGATCCAGGGGCTAAAAAAGAGGCACCGAGACTGGACCTTTGTTCCAGGCGTAGGGATTCAAGGAGAGCGTCGCGCCGTCGGGGTTGACTCGGAAGGCGCCGAGCTCCTCCATAGCGCCGTAGCCGACAGAGGAGCACCCGGGCCCGCCATTGAGCCAGAGCACGAGCGGCGCGGAGTCCGCTGGCACGCCGGAGGCTTCCATGAGCCAATAGAAGAGCGCGCGCCCCGCGGCGGCGTCGACCGTGACGTAGCCGGAGTACATGGAGAAGTTGACCGGCGGCTGGCCCGGTAGTCTGTTGATGCGGTCCGACTCCGCCGCTGCCGTCACCGTCGTGGTAGTGGCTGCAGTGGTGGCGTACGCGACACAGCAGCAGCAGGACATCGCCAATACGGCGGCCAGGACAGTGGCGGCCGCCATTGGCGCTCGCAGGGGAGTCAGTGCTGGACTGATTGGGGAGAAGAGCTGCAGAGCAACAACATTTGTACGAGGAGTGGACAGTGAAGGCCTAGAGGCATGGATTTATGGAGGCCAGGAGCAAGTGAGCCAATTATGGCGCCGCCGGGCGGGGGAAGCTTTTGTGGAAAGCATGCACAGGTGGTTGGTTGGGTCTTGTGTAAGGACAAAAACGGAACGGAAATATCCCGAACCGAACTGTATCGTTTTCTATATTTAATCCGATCGAATCCGTATTTTCTTGTCCGACTTTACCGTTTTCGCTTTCGCATTTGAGATGTTTCGTATTTCAAATGTAAAAGTAGAAAACGGTTTATACATTTTTCGACCGTTTTCTACTTTTCTACTTTTAATTTGAAATATTCCGAATTCAAAATTCGGTTTAAACCGAATTTGGCCAACTGTATAGGTCATACAGCCCAATTACAGGCTGCTCACCATGCAGCTGCGTTCTTTCTATTGGTGGCTAGCTACCCTCTCTTATAGACGGCGCCCAGCCTCATTTCTCTTATTATGTATTTGGTCGTGCACTTGTTTAATGCTATGCACTTAAACATCATGCACTTGTTAGTTGTGAACTTGTTATGTATTTGGTCGTGCACTTGTTTAATGTTATGCACTGTGGGTCGATATTTCGTATTGAATTTTCGCATACCGACCGTGTTCGACATAATTCCGCTCGAATTGGTTCGTTTCCGAAATTCTAGATATTCCGTAAGTCCGTGTTCGTTTTCGTGTCCGGCTTGTCTGCTTTCGCTTTTGCTTTCGTATTTCAAATGTAAAAGTAGAAAATGGTCGAGGAGTTTTTCGACCGAGTTCGACCGTTTTCATCCTTAGTCTTGTGGCCTTGCTGATTCGTTGTCTCGATTCTGAATTTTTTTTGAGCAACACTCGATTCTGAATGATTGCCATGATTCTTTCCGTATGTACGTATCCTTATATATAGATGAACATTCGTGCCGTCCGTCCCGACCCAGCATGGGCCCAAGCCAGGCACGGCCCGCTGGCACCGGGCCAGACACGGCACGCTGGGCTGCCGGACCATGCCGAACCGGGCTTCGTGCCTGGCCAAGGCACGTCACTACAGGCTCTTTTCAGTGCCGGCTCGGGCAAGAAAAGCATGACCAAATAGACGGGTCGAGCCAACTCGAGGCCCACTGGATGTCGACGGAGAGAAACAGAGGGGGGGGGGGGAGGGGAGGCCGGGGCGGCGTGGCCGCAGCTATGCGAGGTTACAAGCCACGAGAGGTCCTTCAGCACGGTCGAGGTGGTCCTTCAGATCTGCTCTAGACCGGACGCGCCGGTGCATGGAGGCGTGGAGCAAGGACGGTTGCGGCTGGGAGTCAGGTAGCGCAGCAGAGACGAGGGGTGGAGAGGTGGATGGTGGGTGTCACCGTGCGTCCGCGCTCATCATCAAGGTTCGAGGGCGAGGCACCGTGAGTCCATGACGCGAGGTTGGTGGGGTTGCCAGGTGCGTGCCATGGCGGGGGCGGACGGTGAGGGACGAGGAGGGGAGGGGGAGGATAAAGCGTAAAATGACATTAATCTTGGAGTGAAGTGGGTCCTGGGTGCTAGCCGCGGCACACTTCTCTTCTTCACCAGGTATTATGATATGTTTACCGAGTCATGCTGTGGCACTCGGTGTGCCTGGGGCCCTTTGTATCGGGCCGTGCTTGGGCCGGGTAAAAAAACCAGACTTCGTGCCAGGGCACCAGGCTGCGGGCGACATGCATGTCTACACGTATCCTGAGCCATGCTCGCTTCCTTGCCAAGACAGACGCGACAGTTCCGCATGCAAATTCGAACGTGCATGAAAGAGAGGATATAAGAGGGACGAGGACGAAGGTTGGCGATGATTTGCAGCGTCGCGGACCGCGCGGTACGTACGCCCTTCTGACTCTACGCGACTGCAATGCGTCCGGCATGTGATTTGTGGGGTCGTCTGATATCCACTATGGGATACAGGGGCACTCGGCAAAGCCTTAAAAACACTCGGCAAACTCTTTGCCAAGTGTTGCACTCGGCAACCGACACCGACAAGGATTTTATCGGCAAACGTTCTTTGCCGAGTGTTTTTTATCGGGCTTGCCGAGTGCCCAGAAAACACTCGGCAAACATTTTTCGAAAAAAATAAAAAAAAACAAGCACCACCGGCCGCCACCACCGCCCGACGCCCACCACCGAGCTGCCTCTCGCCGCGCACCACCGAGCTGCCTCCCGCCGCCACGCCACCACCGAGTTGCCTCCCGCCGCCACCAAGCCCGCCACACCACCATGCCCGAGCTGCCGGTGCCGAAGCTGGGGCCTGCCTCGACCACGACCACCTCGCGGCCGGCCATCGCGCCCACCACCACAAAGCCCGCGCCCACCACCACAGAGTCCGCCGCCTCTCGCGCGGCCGGAGAAAGGGAGAGGAGGGGTGGGGTCCCCGCTGATCCGGGAGGAGGGGCGGTGCGGCGGCTAGATCCGGGGAAGAGGGGGAGAAAGGGAGAGGAGGGGCCGGGGCAGCGGCCGAAGAAAGGGAGAGGAGGGGTGGGGTCCCCGCTGGATTCGGGGAGGAGGGTCTGTGCGGCTTCCGGATCCGGGGAAGAGGGGGGAGAAAGGGAGAGGAGGGGCCGGGCGACGGCTCTGGAGAGAGGGAGGCGGGCATGCGGATTTGGAGAGAGGGAGGTGGGGCGGTGCGGGAAAGGAGGAGGGAGGGAGGTGGGCGTGCGGCAAAGTTTTTTTTTCTTTGCCGAGTGTTCCAGATCTGAGCACTCGGTAAAGTTTTTTTTATCTTTTTTCTTCTCCTTCTTTTTCAGAAAAAAAGATTTTATTTCTTTGCCGAGTGTTCTAGATCTGAGCACTCGACAAAGGTTTTTTTTATTTTTTTCTTCTCCTTCTTTTCCAGAAAAAGATTTTATTTTTTTGCCGAGTGTTTTTTTTGATACTCGGCAAACCAACTATTTGCCGAGTGTTTTTTTACACTCGGCAAACCCTCTCTTTGCCGAGTGTTTTTAGCGCAGCACTCGGCAAAGAACATGTTCGCTGAGTGCCCGACACTACTGGAAACCCGCACCTTGCCGAGTGCCTGCGGCACTCGGTAAAGCCCGAAATACACTCAGCAAAGGCTTTGCCGAGTGCCGCACTCGGCAAAGGGCACTTGGCAAAGAATTAATCGACAAAGAAGCCTTTGCCGAGTGCTTTTTGTCGGGCACTCGACGAAGCCTTTGCCGAGTGCCAAAAAAGCACTCGGCAAAATGAAAATGCGAAAAAAATCCAAAAATAATAGCAAAAAAAAATTCGAGGAAGGGCGCCATCGGCCAGCGCCCGTCCGTCCAGCGCCACCGGCCATCGAAGTCGCTGTATTTTTTTAGCAAAATTCACGGCTAATGCGGCCGGCGGGATTCGAACTCACGACCACTCCCTCGTGTGTCTATTGTTCTACCACTGCACTACACTATCACCTGTGTCTAGATTCCATTATCTATCCTCATATATTATACTAAATCAAGAGTAAATTATTTGTTTGAGGCCCTAAACGAATTCAAATTAAAAAATGGTCAACTACAAAGTTTCATAACTTTTCGAGATCTACAATTTTCATTTAGGAAGTTTTTCCATCCGAGGTCGTTTGAAAAATTCGAATTTCAAATTTGAGAGATTCAAACATAGTTTTGCATGATAAGACGATTTCAAATCAAAAAGTTGTCAACTACATAGTTTCATAACTTTTGGAGATCTACAATTTTCATTTAGGAAGTTTTTCTAACCAAGGTCATTTCAAAAATTCAAATTTCAAATTTTAGAGATTCAAACGTAGTTTTACATGATAAGATGATTTCAAATCAAAAAGTTGTCAACTACATAGTTTCATAACTTTTAGAGATCTACAATTTTCATTTAGGAAGTTTTTCCATCTGAGGTCTTTTGAAAAATTCAAATTTTAAAATTTTCAAATTCAAACGTCATTTTTGCATGACAAGATGATTTCAAATTAAAATGTTGCCAACTACAAAATTTCATTACATCTTAAGATCTACAAAGTTTATTTTGGTCATTTGGTCATCCGACATAGTGGTAGTAATATTATTCACAAATCTTATATCTCTCTCTTCGACTTTTATGAAACTAATATGAGAATACGAGAGAGATGTATATTTTATGAAAACGTTATTGTCGCTTTGTCAAATGAAGAAATGACCAAAATAAACTTTGTAGATCTTGAGAAGTTATATAACTTTGTAGTTGAAAAGTTTTTCATTTGAATTCATTTAGGGCCTCAAAAATTGCTTTGAAAAAATGATTTGCCGAGGGCCAACAAAAATGCACACGGCAAAATGCCTCTTTGCCGAGTGCCAAATAAAGGCACTCGACAAAGACGCATTTTGCCGAGTGCCAAAAAATGGCACTCGGCAAAATACATCTTTGCCGAGTGCCAGAAAAAAGGCACTCGGCAAAGACGCATTTTGCCGAGTGCCGAAAAATGGCACTCGGCAAAATATATCTTTGCCGAGTGCCGAAAAAAAACACTCGGCAAAGCCGTCTTTGCCGAGTGCCCGATAAAATACACCGATAAAATACACTCGGCAAAATGCCGGTTTCTAGTAGTGCGAGGAAATACACTCGGCAAACATAAAAACAGTGCCGTACGTAGGTCGACGTGAGTGATGATGGCCAGCAGCCGAGATCAAAAGCGAGCGTGGGACGGAACGAGGCACGGAGGTATCAGCTAACGGCCCCATGTGATCTAGTCGAAAGGACTGTGGGAGGAGTTTTGTGATCCGTAGAGTTTCTAGCTCGTGTTTAGTTTGCTAAGTGGCGAGCAATCCTGTCATTTTACTAAACTGGAGTCTGATACTTTATTTTACTAGACGCTGCTTAGTTTGTCGAGTTTGCTCTTAGTTTGTTGAATTTCAACCTGTGAGTTGAGCTTAGTTCGAATTCTTTTAACTGTGTTGGCCTACATTGTAAGCTGGTAACCCAAACAGTGACTATTGGCTTTCGTTAGGCTTCCAATAAAGCTGGGTGATGTCTTTGGTCTAAAAAATAAGTTGATGGCCAGGAAGATGAACAATCTAGCTCCATGTAGTAACTAGTAGCTAGTAAGCATGGAGCTCTCGGTGTTGTGCTGCCAATGGCGTGGCACGCTGCGGACCATGTGGTCCTGACAGGGCGCGCTCGTGAGGAACAACTAACTAGGTGAAATTTGGACGTAGATTTAGAACGAGAAAGGATCAAAGGGATATGAAACTTAGACAAAGCAATGGGATAGTCGAGGGGATATTTTTAACCCTCACCTGAAAATTCGCTCACACGGAGAGTTGGACCGGAGAACTGATGCTCGTAAAACTTCGTACCAAAATCTAATTGCATTTAAAGCGTTTGGTAGACATCCGCAAAATCCGCTCCAAAGAAGCTGGGAGTAGATCGAGCTCTACCAATCTTGCCATTACAACTTCTGGAGCAACCACTATGGATCTTCCAACGTGAAAGTGTGCCAAACTAGGTGCTATAAAAATAACTCGAAAGGAAAGATACAATCAGCTCATTCTAGCGAGCAACATTTTATTCTGCTTATTATTTCAGAAAGTCACTCATGAAACAAATTAAAAGGAGCGCGACGTTTGGCCAACGTCGATTATTGATTGGACAGGTGGAAATATACAACATGCCCACCTGAAAATGTGGTGGCGAATCTGTGAAGATGGATTGCCAAGTCCGGCCTTATTATTCATATCAAGCCAAGCGAGACAACAAATTCTAGTATGACTGGACACTCTCAACAGGCTTGGGCATGGGCACGTCTCGTAGGAAGTGCTCAAAGAGCTTCAGGGCCTGCCGTGGACGGTGGAGGGGAACCTCATGACCTGCACCTCGGACCGTCACCAGAGTCAAACCCTCATACACTTGGCACCATCCACCAACCTGCAGATAAGCATGATCCACACCATTACAGACATGATTAGTGTATGTAGCTGAGAGGGCAATGGGACTGCCAGATTTTTTTTCGAAAGATCGGGACTGCCAGCTGATTTGATGCAGTGGTGGTGTCCCAGACTGACCTCTTCGTCGTAGTACCAAGGATACCACTTTGTGATCGTTGGTAGAGATAGCGCATCAATGGAGTATCTTGAAGCAGTGAGGGGGACGACAGAGTCTGTGTCGCCGCTGCCAAATTAAATTGACCAATGTAATAAGAGAAGATTAAAATCCACACTCATTTATTACCAACTCATTGCGACTGTCAAAGATTTAGGATTCAGAAGAAGCCATGCATGATCTCAACGACAGAAATCCAATGTACCTGAAGACCCATATCCCTAGGCCCGCCGAGATAAGTTCACGGTAAATAGGAAGCATGGACCCTGGTGAATCTTTCCAATATTCATATATTGGGTCACTGAAAAGATTCAGTGGATTTGGTGCAAATTATCAATAATTGACGCATAGTACTCTGGTATTCTAGTGGACCAAAATTAAACAAGATGAAAGCATTTGAGCAGACCTGCAGCCTATCCACGCATATGGTATTCCAGTAACATTGGCATGGAAAGCTTCCTGCACCTCGGGTAAGTTGTAGTAGTTTGTGAAGTACAGTTCGGTGCAGGGATCATATCCTCTGGGCAACCAGGGCTACATTTGAACAAATGTGCAGTCAATATGCATGAGCTGATAAATCTTAGAGAATATCACAATAATCAGAAACGTTTGGCCTTTAATTTGCTCAGTCAAACCATACTCGTCAATATAACCATTAGATAATCTCTACCCTTTCTTAAAAAAAATTACACGCTTCTACCATTATAAAAAATACATAAAAGTACATAAAGTAACCTCTGCTTTGTATCTACATTATTACCTACCTACACCATTATAAAAGATAATATAAAATGTCTAATTAAATTTACATCTCACCCACATATATCGTTATAAAATATAAAGCAAATTAAGCCCTAAATTAGTTTTTACATTACCCACATATGCCTTTATGAAAGACAATATAAAATGAGACCTTTAATTTGTATCTAAATTACCAACTTCTGTCGTTATAAAAGTAACCTAAAAATATTGTCAAATCTATGCCGAAATGCCAATAAAACCTATTGTGCAAAATAATTCAATAACCATAAAGTATGCTTTATATTAGAGTTATGGACTATATCTAGATATATAGTAAAAGCTATATGCACCTAAAAAAGAAAAACCGACTTAAAATTTGGAACCAAATGAGTACATTGTTTGTTACTAAATGATATAAACAACCATTTTAGCCTGCACCACGACACTCAAGACATTGAATTTGCAAGGCTAAAGAATCGTAATTGTAGTAATATTACTATGTAAAAATATAGAGTACCTAGAATTAAATCAGCAATATTTGATATGTCATAATGTTCTGGTCAAAACTAGTATTTGATACATAGTATGTCATAATGTTCTGGTCAAAACTTATATATAGCTTATAAGTAACAGCTTACATAATTTATTATCATTGGTACGTTTTTTGTTAAGATTTTTCATAATTGATAAAGTTTTAAAATAAATATCTATCCTCACTTATGCTTGTTTACTTGGTCGGTGGCACATAGAGTTTATGCTTTACTTTTAATGTAACGACGACAGTGTGTGTTTATATAAGTTTTTAACAAAATATTAGAAATTTTTTTGAATAAAAGATACAATAAGCACTAAAGTCACAACTTAACATGTGGAAAAATTGCTACAACTAATAAGATCACAAGTGAAAGCCAAAATATAGATTTGAAATCTCAAAAAATGGGATGCAACAAGACCTTATATAACTTAAGCAAAAGATGACAACTTATATCTTAATATTGCTAACTGGAGGTCCAAAATGGAGCCTCAATATAAAAATAAACCTTAGAAATTCTCATAATAACAAGAAACATTTATCTATTAATACACTCAATTTTAACCATCATAAATAATAATAACTATTCGATATACTTTATTTTCTAAATAAATATCCATTATTGTTGTAATGAAAACATAAGTAATCATAAAAACTACATCAAAACCACCAACTAAATACATATTAAAAACACACAGTGGTGCAATGCAAAGAATGAAAATACATATAAAATAATTGGTAAAGCTATCACTACTGAGTAGAGATTATAGAGCATCTAAATGGGTATTCTATTACAGATTAGAGAGAGAGAGAGAGAGAGAGAGAGAGAGAGAGAGAGTAAAGATAATTATTTTGATTAGTTATACACACTAAATTTATCCACAAAATATTTAATACTTATGTAACTTAACATTCTAGGCCATGCTGGAGCACATGTTGATGAGCTACTATGAATAATACAGTAGATACCTACATAGTCAAAAGAACCTTAGGGAGAATACAATATACAAGACTACCATTAGCTATAAGTGAACCATGAATTTTGGTATCAACTCAAACATACCATTCTTCCCCTTATTTGCCTGCGCTTATGCAATGAAGTCTTATTACAAGTAGGCGTGTAGATGCTGTATAAATCAATATTCCCTTGCTCAGCCTCGGCAACTTCAGAGATTTTTTGACATTCCTTAGAGGGGTGCTCAGACACATCATATTTACAAGCCTCCCACAACTTCACATAAGTTTCATCGGAGATAAGCCCATGCGTCCACCAATACTCAAATGTGCCCTTGTAGTCATGGTAATCGTCAATTACCGCATTTCCAACCTAGAGCATTGACCAAACACTTGGTTATTTCTAATTAATTATGGGACCATAATACAATATGAGCTCAAGAAGTTCTAACCATGAAGCCTTTGAAGTTTAAGGTTGGATTTTCAATTCCTTTGTTGCTTCGGTACACTACCTGAGACAGTTGAGGGACATAGTGGCCTGAAAAATAAATATCACACCAAATTATGCTGGAGGTACGGATATCTAATCTCCAGATACCATTAACCACACAATCTCTATCACATATGGAGTTAACAGATTTTTATGGTAGTTCACCGGCCTGCATAGCTCTCTCCAGCGATGTAGAAATCACGATACTTATACTGCGGGAACCGCTCCAACCAATTTATCAAGAAAGCATAGGAGTCATGAGCTGCAGAACAACATTAGCAAGAAACATCCATAAGAGCAAGAACAACAACACTTGTGAAAGTGAAAAGTATTTTGGAGAATCAAACTCATTTCTCATCGATATTGGAACATGTATATATACACAACGTATAGATGTGTTTATACGTTTTTGAGATATCAATGTCATACAACAGGACACAACAGATTACAAAATCACCTATACAAGGAAGACTACTATCTAGGCTGCCTGTAGGTCTGTTTCCATGTGTGCATTGATTGTGTCTGACGGGGAACAACAACATGTTGGAATGAAATATAGTTTTTTCTTGGTACATTAATCCAACAAAAGGTAAAATTTTGAGTTGTTATGCACTAGAGAATGTGTATTAGCACTTAGCTTGAGATGTTAGTTTTAAAGCTAGCATGCAACATACTAATATTGGATGAAGACAAAGTATCCATCAAAGTTGTACAGCTCAAAGAGATTTCCAACTTTGTAGTTGTGTGACTTTTTCATTCCAAATCATGTAAAGTCCAAAATTATGTTTTGAGTTCACAAAGTTTGAAATTCATTTTTTTTTAAAAAAAATCCAAACGACCTCATATGGAGATATGACAAACCAAAGTTGTAGTACTTGACGAGATCTAAAAATTTTTAGTTGAAACTTTTTTCAGTTGAAATCAGGGTCTCAAGTAATCATGACAAGATTCACTAAAGTGAATACAAAAGCAAAGAAACATCATTTAGTCATAAGTAACTTTGGGGTGTAGTGGTAGGTGAGGTTCATGTGAAATCTTAGGTTGCAAGTTTGATTCCCAACTGCACACATGCATGGAAATTGTGTGATGGGATCAATTCTTCCACAAGAGTTTTTTTCTATATATATATCCTTGGAGGATAGTACAAATACCTTAGGGATCGGCCCCCAAGAAAATATATATGCTTGACAATTGTCATGTTTCCTTGACGCTGTGGAAAATTTCATCTCGTCTTTGTTTCCTTCATGTTATGAAAAGTATATCATTTTTTACCATCGGCCTTCAAGGTAATTGAATTTCCTTTGATCTACTCTTAGTGATCCTTCCGTGAGGGTTGCCAGCCATGAATAATTCCTCGGTTGTTTTCATAGTTTCTTTGAGGTTTTTGGGGCTCTTAAGGCTATTCCGTCTTGTGGTAGTGATTGATGTTTTCTACAACAAGATACCTCTAAAGCCTTGTTCAGCTGCACTGTAATCCACCTTAATCTACATGTATTGCGGTGAAAAACTTGTTAATTTTTCACCCCCGGCCCAATCTACCTTGTTACATGTGGATTGAGGTGGGTTGAAGTGTAGTACTTCCTCCGTTCTAATTTATAGGTCGTTTTGGCTTTTCTGGATACACAACTTTTACTATGTATTTAGACATATCGTATATCTAGGTGCATATCAAAAGATATGTACCTAGAAAACCCAAAACGGTCTATAGTTTGGGACAGAAGGTGGTAAGTCATTGTCAATAATTAGTTGGCCTGTTGCTCACTGACTGTGTGTGTTGTTGTACGTTGAATAGTACCATGGCGGATGACTATATGTATAGTAAAAAACTCAGGGCTGCAAGGGGTAGACACCCTCGAGCTATTTTAACTTAAGGTAGAGGACTTCTCACCCATCCCGAGAAAACCCTACAACCCAATGCCCCCTCGAGCTATTTTAACTTAAGGTAGATGACTTCTCACCCATCCTAAGAAAACCCTAGAACCCAATGCCCGCCCGCAACCGGTCCATTTTACCTGTGGTTTGAAATTAAATTAAACATGGGACAGGTGAGGGAGTTTTTTTCCACACCGTCGACCAGAAAATTCGCCTGACCAAGGATTCAAACTCTGATCACGGAGGACGCCACCCGAAGGCTTACCAATTGCTCACCGTAGGCGACTATGTATAGTAGCCTAACAACAAGAATTGAATAGATGCAGTAAAGAACTAGAGAGATATTTACTCCGGTAATTCACCTGTCTTGTTGTCACCGGCAGAGTACAGATCGTTGGTGGTGTTGGTGTAGGAGTAGCCGACGCCGGCTGGCGAGTCCAAGAACAGCACGTTCGCCACTGCAAGCAAACCAATATAATCCATCCATCGCCACCATGACAAACATGGAGGATATATAACAAGCTACTATAGTACTATACACCTTTCTTTTGGACAAACTATAGGCGAGTAGTGCGCAAAGAAAAGGGATTTTTTTTTTACAAAAAGGCATCAAAACTGGACCTTTGTTCCAGGCGTAGGGGTTCAAGGAGAGCGTCTCGCCGTCGGGGTTGACGCGGAAGGCGCCGAGCTCCTCCATAGCGCCGTAGCCGACAGAGGAGCACCCGGGCCCGCCATTGAGCCAGAGCACGAGCGGCGCCGAGTCCGCCGGCACGCCGGAGGCTTCCATGAGCCAGTAGAAGAGCGCCCGCCCCGCGGCGGCGTCGACCGTGACGTAGCCGGAGTACATGGAGAAGTTGACCGGCGGCTGGCCCGGCAGCCTGTCGATGCGGTCCGACTCCGCCGCCGCCGTCACGGTGGTGGCGGCGGACGCCGCACAGCAGTAGGACAGGGACAGCACCAGTATGGCTGCCAGCAGGACAGTTGCGGCCGCCATTGGTGGTGGCGCTCGCAGGGGAATCATCAGTACGTGCCGGACTGGTTGGAGAAGAGCTGCAGAGCAAATATATACACGAGGGATGGGCTAAGCGAGAGTGAGCTGAGCCAATTATTGGAATGGAACGGGACGGGGGTAACGTCGAGAGCATGCACGGGTTCGTGGTTGGTTGGGTCTTGTGGCCAACAGTACACTGCTGTTGTTGGGTTATCTCGGCTCTGAATGATTGCCACGATATTGCATTATTTGGTGGGCGGAGGTAGTATCCTGCTAGCTGGCAATACAGCTCCGCATACAAATTCGAACGTGCATGAAAAGGAAAGGGTATTGGGGACGAGGACGAGGACGAAGGTTGGCGACGATTCGCAGCGTCGCGGAGCCGTACGTATGTGTGGATTTGTGGGGTCGTCTGATATCTCGTACGTCCACGTGAGTGACTGGCCAGCAGCCGGTCGAAAGCTAGCGGCCACCGAGGCACGGACGGAGCTATCAGCTATATATGGTGATGGTGGCATGGCGCGCGTCGAGCCATCGGCGAAGAAGCAAGCGAGGCTTGTCGTGGCGAGTGTGGCATTAATGAATGGCATCTTTGGCGATCGAGCTCGATCGGAGCCGGGGAGGATGGTGGTAGTTTTAATTATTTGTGGTCGACGCACAGCGACCTCCGTGGATGGATCGATCGGAGGAGCAGTGACATCTCATCTGCCGTCGAGGGGGAACGGAGTAGGTGGCGAGGCCGAGGAAGATGAACATGTACTAGTACACTAGTAGTAGTACTAGTAACTAGTAGTAAGAATGGAGCTCGTGTTGTGCTGCGAATGGCGTGGCACATTGAGGACCATGTGGTTCTGACACGGGGCACGCTCGGGAGGAACGAGAACAAGCTAGGTGAAATTTGGACGTAGATTTATGGATCTTAGATGATAGACCTGTGGTAGCATTTGGATGTGACTTCGAATGGGAAAAACACGTGATGGGTGTAAGCAACAGAGTATATGAAGGATAGCATAGAATCTTAGAGTTTAGAAACTGAAGAGTGATTACAGAGGAGCAATATGCTTGTTCATAGTAGATTCCTCTCTCCTTGTTTCGACTACTTATCCTACCAGTTCACGGCACTAGCTAGCAGACACTTATGCCCATTCTGGGCCTTGGACGTGCAGGTTGGGCCGCTGAGCTCGCGCGCCACGCCGAGGCCCATCATCCTCTTGTACCGCTTCACGAGCATTACTTGAGCCAACAGGTGTATCAGGAGAAGTGCTGTTGACATCCCACCTGATAAGCACCAGCTTGCCCCAAGCTGGAGCTCGGGGAAAGCGCTGTCGCAGGGCTTCGACATCTTCCAGGTCGCCATAGACGCCGGCAGGCCCGACCACTGGATCAAGGCTTGAAGTCGAACATCCAGTGGTAGCCACTTGCTTCTGAAGTATCCACATGGGACTGTCGACGAGATACATCCGGCAGTCTACCGAGGGATATGTCAACGGGTGGAGATAAGCGTGAGAGAACTAGATGGTGACATAGAACGCAAGAGACAACGATTTAGACAGATTCAGGCCGTCAGCTTGACGTAATACCCTACGTCCTGTATCTTTCGATGTATTGTATTGCGTATGATGAGATGTCTTAGGTTAAGCCTAGGATCCGTATGGGGATGTCGACTAGAGGACCCTTGCTCCTCCTTATATGCTCTGGAGGGATATGGTTACAAGAAAAGTATCATATTTGGTATTATACAATATCTAATAAATCACATCTTCTTGTAGCCTTACGGTGCACGTCGACCAGTGCCATGCGCCGCACGTCTAGATCTTGTGGGCTGGGCCACCTCTGATGGTGCGGCACATGTCTTGTCATGTGGGTACCGGGGGTCATACCCCCACAGCTAGTCCCCGAGCGTCTTGTATCCGCTGAGCAACACCGTCTTGAGCCTGTCCGAGCTGTCCAACTTGCTGCTGATCATCAGGAATAGGTGTCCGACCAGTTTAACAGGGAGCCGAGCTGTTGAAGCGAGTATCCGAGCAGTTGAACAGGCGTCCGAGCAGTTGACCTGTCATCCGAGCTGTTGTCCGAACAGTGGGAACAGCGTCCGAGCAGTTCAACTGTGAGCGAGCCTAGAATTACTTGAAGCTGAGGTTTGCCAGAAGGATGTAAGGGGCTCATGATAAAAAAATTGAAGTCACCATCTTGAATGAAGTGTGCCCACTTAGGTTCCGGACGTCGAAGTTAGATGCTTAGCGTCCTAAACTTAGTCAGCGCGGAGAAACTTAGTCATTTTGTAGAAGATTAAGTCGAAAAATAAGCACATTCATCGTGAGGTGAAGTGTGCCAACTTAATCCCCTAGCCTAGCAGTAGGTGAAGTAGTCACGTCGTGCCAGGGTCAAAAGTAGTAGTCTTCAGGTGCTGGCTCAGTCCCCAATGTCGCTGGAAACCAGTGTAGAAATAAATACAGTCATCGCGAGATGACGTGTACACATGTAGTCTCCGAGCCTGCTGGAAGATTTTGAAGATATCTTGTAGCAGGGTCAAAGAATTTTTAATGAAAGCTTACTAACATCATCTGCCATGTACTTCACAAGACACAGATCAGCACCCTGATCCGAACAACATGGAGCAACTTGATAGCACACCGATGAGACGTAGCAAGATCAACCACCAAGGGAGTTTCCAGCTTAGCTGGCGACGCTTGCACAAAGAATCCGAACAGCGAGGAGTCCCCAGCGTAGCTGGCGAGCCCCCAGCATAGCTGACGATGAAGCCCATGCGATGAGCAGTCCAACCAACTGGTCGGCGGCGAAGTGAACTCTGAGCAAGAGTGAGTGCCGAGCAGTCCGACTAGTTGGTTGGCGGTGAAGTCCGTCTGATAGGGGGTTCGACCAACCGGACGATGATTATCTTGTCCAGTCCTTGAGCGTAAGCTCGTTGACCGAACCGTGCCCCTACAAAACAAATATGTAGAATTGGTAGTACATGATGTTAAAATAAAATATATGAACTCCGGAGAAGAATCAGCAATGGTGATAAAATAGCGTATGTAGATTGGCGATCAGTTGGCGTGAACACTTAGCGTTATTATGAAGATGTGTTTATATTTAATATAAACCGTCCGACCAGTTTGTGTATAGCTGAGTCTCTAGCCCTAACTAGCCTGTTAACCATAACGCGGAGTGCGGAGCTCGTGTGCATGTAGGAAGAGCAGAGCGTCGCTAAGAAGTCGCTGCCGACCACCCCTAACGCAGAGGGCAGGCGCTCGTGTACATGTAGGGAGAAGCCGGAGACAGGGCCGTCTCTGGGAACATCTGAACATCAACATGACTGTTCGAGGATTTGCTTTAGGCTTAGCTATATGTCATCTTTAAGATGGTAACATGAAAGAAAATGGTTTGGAGAACAAACATGGAGAAAACAGCTCGAAAAAACATCCTGGAGATATATGGAGGTTGGGGAATATTTTAAAAAATATATTAAAGCGTGACTTAGCTTTAGACAGAACGTCTGGTCGACGTCGACGAAATCGCCCGGCTCTCGAGCTTTTCGGCCAATCGTCATAGTGGCGGTCGCGGTCGTTATAGCGCCGTTCTTTGAGGCGATCATCATTGCGACGTGGCAGGTGGTCGGGGCAATTAGTCCAGGCGACGTCGTCCTTATATTACTAGTCGGCCTTAGGCAGATCAGATTCGGGAGACCACGCATAATTTCCTTGCTTGCATGGTTTTGTGGATTGGCCGAACGGGGGATCATTCTGTACGTACGCCCCATTAATTTGTGTTGCCGATCCGGTTGATGAAGAAATCTGGGCGAGTCGATGGCGAGGTCCCCGTCGTCGATGAGGTACGACCGGTCGACGGCGTGAGTCCCGACGAGACGTCGGCAAGGGCTGTCGCGGCTTCCTGCCAAAAACAATCGTCATGCAGACAAGCAGAGAACTAGGGATGCACGAGGATATACATAACCCGTAGACCATGTTAAACTAAAATAAAAGTAAGACTTAGATTTTGGATCCATGAACGCAGGTGTCGTCAACTGTCAGATTGCTACATGGTGCTGTAGACGTGGCCGCTGCCGCTCCAAGCTGTTAGCCACCTTGATTAGGATCTTCGGGCTTTGACGCTTGCCGTACGTGAGGCGTGGTCGTGTTGATGTAGCCATGGGATGGATCCGCGGGAGCGATGACGGTACGGATATGAGAGAGTCATGCCCCCTTAGACCCTGCGTGACTCCAGCTAGCTATCGCGTAGGTTTCCACAGGCCACGGAATCACGCCCTCCGTCGTTGGAGACAGCTTGACTCCGCGATCTATCTGTTGCTGCCAGCGATGAAACACCGAGTCCCGCCGGAGGTTGTTCAAGGTCGCCGTCGTGAAGAGCCGATTCCCCACGACGATGATAGAAAATTTCTCATCTGGTTCGCCATGGATTTATCACGCACACCCCCTACCTGGCGCGCCATTGTCGACAAAATACGTCCGCAGTCTACCGAGGGGTATGTCCATGGTAGTAGATGAATCGGTGAAGGTGCACGTGAGGGAACTAGATAGTGACACAGAACACAAGAGGCAGCGATTTAGACATGTTCAGGCCATCAGCTTGACCTAATACCCTACGTCTTGTGTCTTTCGGTGGATTGTATTGCGTATGATGAGATTCCTTAAGCTAAGACTAGGATCCGTATGGGGATGTCGACTAGGGGACCACTGCCCCTCCTTATATGCTCTAGAGGGGTAGGGTTATAAGAAAAGTATCATATTTGGTATTATACAATATCTAATAAATCATATCTTTTTGTAGCCTTGCGGTGCACGTCGACCAGTGCCGTGCGCCGTACTCCTTAATCTTGTGGGCTAGGCCACATCTGATGGTGCGGCACATGTCTTGTCCTGTGGGTACCGGAGGTTATACCTCCATAGGAACCGGCAAGCCATCAAGGTTAGGGTAATGGCTGAGCTGTATGAGTCACAGGAACAACAATCTTCGATTGCGAGACATGAAAGACTGGATGG